AACCAGTATTATGCAACTTAATAGGGATTTTTCCATGTAAACCAGTATAATGCAACTTAATAGGGTTTTTTCATGTAAACCAGTATAATGCAACTTAATAGGGTTTTTTTTCATGTAAACCAGTATAATGCAACTTAATGGGGATTTTTCCATGTAAACCAGTATAATGCAACTTAATAGGGGTTTTTACATGTAAACCAGTATAATGCAACTTAATAGGGTTTTTTCCATGTAAACCAGTATAATGCAACTTAATAGGGTTTTTTCCATGTAAACCAGTATAATGCAACTTAATAGGGTTTTTTCCATGTAAACCAGTACAATGCAACTTAATAGGGATTTTTCCATGTAAACCAGTATAATGCAACTTAATAGGGTTTTTTACATGTAAACCAGTATAATGCAACTTAATGGGGATTTTTCCATGTAAACCAGTATTATGCAACTTAATAGGGATTTTTCCATGTAAACCAGTATAATGCAACTTAATAGGGATTTTTCCTTGTAAACCAGTATAATGCAACTTAATAGGGTTTTTTTCATGTAAACCAGTATAATGCAACTTAATGGGGATTTTTCCATGTAAACCAGTATTATGCAACTTAATAGGGATTTTTCCATGTAAACCAGTATAATGCAACTTAATAGGGTTTTTACATGTAAACCAGTATAATGGAACTTAATAGGGGTTTTTACATGTAAACCAGTATAATGGAACTTAATAGGGGTTTTTACATGTAAACCAGTATAATGCAACTTAATAAGGATTTTTACATGTAAACCACTATAATGTAACCTAATAGGGGTTTTTACATGTAAACCAGTATAAAGCAACTTAATAGGGATTTGTACATGTAAACCAGTATAATGCAACCTAATAGGGATTTTTCCATGTAAACCAGTATAATGCAACTTAATAGAGATTTTTCCATGTAAACCAGTATAATGCAACTTAATAGGGATTTTTCCATGTAAACCAGTATAATGCAACCTAATAGGGATTTTTCCATGTAAACCAGTATAATGCAACCTAATAGGGATTTTTCCATGTAAACCAGTATAATGCAACCTAATAGGTTGCATTATACCACCAGACCAAGACCCAAACGAAGACTCAGACCACCACCAGATAATGACCACAGACCAGGTTTCCTTAGTTACAGGAACCAAATTGTTTCAGCGGTGAGGGGATTTTTCAGTTTCAAGGACACTTTCAATACATTCAGTAGTTTCAAGGATTTCAACTGTTTAAGAATTTAACCAGTTTCAAGGATATCAGGAGGTTCAAGGATTTCAGGAGTTTCCACACTTTCAACAGTTTCCAGGTTTAAAAAAAGTTTCAAGGATTTCAGGAGTTTCAATGTTTCAACAGTTTCAAGGATTTCAGGAGTTTAAAGGTTTCAACAATTTCAAGGACTTCAGGAGTTTCAAATATCTATCAAGTATTTTAACAGTTTCAAGGCCTTTTAAAGGATTTCAAGGATTTTTTTTAGCAGATTTCCACATTAGATCTGTTCCGCAGTCAATCGCAATGGCTTCAGCCATTGCAAGTTTCTAGTTTTATTTAACAAGGCATATATCATTAGGTAATACATACAACAGGATAGGGATACAACAGATTACGCGTGTGTGTCAGGTATCTCTCCACATCTTTTTGTTGTTTGTTTGTATAAATGTTATTTTGCACACACAAAAAAAGCAATACATATTTGAAAATGTTGTCACTTCCAAGTTCATTAAAGCTTGTTTGAATAAGTTTTGGTTCTTAGTTCATGCAATATAGTTATATATTTCTATTGTTATATTGTGAAAGAATTTTTGGTTTTATTCATAAAACCAATTTTTTTCTGCACATGTTTGAAGATGAAGTGATAGTCTGTAACTCTAAATGAATTACAAATGTTAAGAATTGTATTAAATTGACCTCCTGGCCTTAAATATTGATATGAAATAAGTAATTTTATGAATTCTAATATTACGGGTAAGTCCTGCCTTCCCTTCTCTAAAGCCTGGTTCACACAAGACGATTTTAAAATTGTCGGCCGATTTTTCTCCGTGTTAGACCCCACACGGGGAGATTAAAAATCCTGCGTCTAACCACTTTGGTCGTGCAGTGTGTGGTGCGTAGCCACACGGCAAGATCACGCAAGCCACAAACATCACACACGAACCGACACCCCCCCCCGAGCATTCCCAGGTCAGACGGAAATCTCACAAAATTTCTCGAGATCAAGCGTGACTTCAGCGTAAACAGTCATGGCGGACGAAGAGGATGCAGTGGCGATAGTGTGCAGTTTGTTGTTAACAGAGAAGACACGTAATCCAAAGAAAAGGCAATGGTCAAAGCCATGCTGCTGTGTTTTGGTTTTTTTCCGGTGTTTCCTCACCGGCTTGTCACCTCGTCTTCTTATTGGCTACACGCCGTAGTCATGGCAACGCGCTCGCTTGTCCTCGGAGGACACCACACACGACAAGAAATCGGGCCAAAACAATCCAACATGTTGGATATCCCCGATTTGAGATCGGGAGCAGTCCCGATGTCCTTCCGAGCGACGAGTGCAGTCTTAACACACCACACACGGCAGGATAATCTGTAAGATTTTGTTACGGAAATCGGAGCGTTTCTTAAGATTGTCGTAAGGGGTAAATCGGGTCTAAATCGGCCTAAATATCCTGCCGTGTGAACCAGGCTTTAGCTATAGCTAGAAATCCACGGTGCCGTCCACGTTAACCAATCAAGTCATGCCAAGGGCTGTCAATCATCGGCGCTGATGCTGGCGCATGCTCAGTTGTTTGTTTTTGCGGAGCCTCCGAATCAAACCTTTATAGGCTCTGGAACTTCATGAAAACTTTACAAAGAATTCTGAACATCCGCGCTGAGTTACCCATTTATATACTGAACCTATATCCATAATCATTTATATACTGAACCTATATCCATAATCATTTATATACTGAACCTATATCCATAATCATTTATATACTGAACCTATATCCATAATCATTTATATACTGAACCTATATCCATAATCAGATCCTCTACAGATGTGTCCTGTAATGTTCAATGAATCGCTTTTTTCATGCATTAAAACATTATTTTTGTCATTAAAACGTTAACAAATAATTCTGAAAACCTCTGTGCATGTGTATTATTAATGTTTATATATAATGTGTTCTCCGATTAACATTTAAATGTGTTACGGAAACGTAGGCGTAGACCAATCAGAAAGGAAGGGGGAGGGAGCTTGTGTCGTTTTTTTCAAATCCTGTACCCCTCTCTCTTTTTTCTGACAAACTCCAGACAATCACTTTAATGTTTTTTTTTTTTTTTTTTTATGTTAAACATAATATTATTCAGTTAAACATTTTTTTTTAGATATTTATATTTTATCTACACATCATCTTTCAGTGGGTGGTTTAGTAACAGCTTGTTCACTACATTCTTTTGTATAACTGTGTACTACATATTTACAATATTTAAATCATGCACTGTAATCAAACCCCGGCACATAAAGCATTTGTTCTTGTCTTTCTTCGGTCACAATTAGGCCGGATCATTACTGGACTGCAATATACAGTATTTACAGATAGTTCAAAAATAATATGGAATATCCCAAAAGAAAACCATGAGGGGTGCACGTGCCACATCTTGAGAAACACTGATATTAACTAACCTTTGCCGGTTTTGTTTGAAGTGAGTGATTAATTACTTTCCAACCCCATGAGCTGATGCGAGGCGTATGTCCCAGGCGTGGTGTGACCTTTTGTCATAGCAAACACGGCGCAGACAATCTGAAGGTGGGACAAGGCAATAAGGCACAAACACACAAGCAACAATCAGAAAGCACTCAGGGACTGGAGGCTGCAAAACACATGCACTTTGCTTTTCATGATTATAACATTAGGAAACTGTGAAATGTTTCATTTGTATAGGTCAGGTAATGCGTTTCTGCATACGTGTTTCATACATTGCAAGCACCTGACCTGTGAGTGGGTTTTTTGTTACATTTGAATATTGAGTATATTTTTTGTATATGTATCCATCCATCCATCCATTTTCTTACCCTTTATCCATTACTGGGTTGGGTTGGGGGGATTGGCAGTCAGAGATGTCACCCAAGTGTTTGTATATGTATTTAAACCATATTTAAATACTTTTGGGGAAAATTTCACACAATATACAGTAACTGATGCTCAAATTGATGCTGATGCTGTCATTGACATAAGAACGATATAACGAACGAGAATATTTTTAATAAAAATTTAGATAAAAAATGTTTCTACCCAAATGCTCTGGTTCACATGATAAAACACTAGAAAACCGTTATTCATTCCACAGTGTTGCTGTACGCCAGAATAAAATAAGCACTCAATACTAGATTCACTAGAACACTACTAAAACTATGGATCATCCCGAAATTTAAATGGGGTCTTCCAACCTTCACCGTATACACCACCAAACATCACATCCCATATATACAATATTACCACTCAATCCAGTTGTAACACTAGAGTTTGCACACAACTATAAATGCATCCAGTAAATAATGTAAAATGTACACATATAAAAAGGTTCAGACTAATTGAGAAATACAGTAGTTGTGGAAGGAAAACTCCCATCCAAATGATCCATCTAACTAATGCATCTAACCTTCACTCCCTGTTCTTTAAGACGGCCGGGCTAGAGCTTCACATTTGGCATTTTTAGCAATACATTTCTGAGATGCAGATACAAGTAATAGATCATAAGGGTAAAAAGAGTAGACCCGGTGACAGTTTGAAACACGTGGCTAAAATAACAAAGGTTAGGGAGAGGAAGAAGACTGTTTGTCCGAGAGAAACTATTGGTGAAAAATAAGGAACAAAACTCTTTGTTTTGGGTCTTTGGGTCAGTGGTTGTGGGTTGCAGAAAACGATCTTGTGCGCACGGGGCACCGTTTGGAGCGCTGCGTTCAAAGGTCGAAGTTGGTCATTGTTCTGCGGTGAATAAATATTTATCAATGATGTCGTTCCTCTCCTCCAGTCACAGCGGGTCAGTTGCAACATAGCCAAGAAATATTCAAATGGTACATACAAAAAAAGAAATAACTTGGTAGTATTTGTCCATTTTCTTTCAACAGAGTTCAACATTTAAAAATCGGAGAGGCTTGAATTGCTGCTTTATCTTACATTTAGACTAAAAAAGAATATAATATTTAATATGTTTAATAATGGTAGAATTGTGTGTTTACAGTATGCACGCCGTTATGATCAAAATATGAATTACTAAAAAGACAATTCTTAAAATAAAACTTGTTTGTGCTTGTATTATTATTATCTTCATTATTTTCTGTCAGGCTCCTGTTTTGCAACCTTTTCTTAATATTTTTTTTTTCTTTCTAAAAAATTAGAATAAAGCTTTTATTTTCAGAAAAACGAATGGAAAAAAATCAATACCCTCCACTGCCTTGCCCATGCCAAGATTTCAAGCACATAACTGAGCAAGAAAGCAAATTCCTTGCGAATAGCTGGACCGTTTGTGTCCTCGAAGGCTGCTCTTTTCCTCTCTCCTTTCTGCCTGATGTGGGTGGACTCTCTAAATCGATCGTCTGATAAAAAGTGTGCATGTGTGTGCGTACGAGCGTGTGTGTGTGTGTGTGTGTGTGTGTGTGTGTGTGCTTCTCCACGGGGGCAGAGTCGCTGATTGTGTTTGCGTTTCTCCAGATGGTCACTAAACGGAACACTCATCGATCTGGGGAACGACTACCGGCGTCACATGTCTGGGGGCAACCTGATCATTAGCAACCCGGAGCGGGACCAGGACACGGGGATCTACCAGTGCACCGCCTACAACACGTGGGGCACCATCGTCAGCCGCAAGGCCAGCCTAAAGTTTGCATGTGAGTCCTTCTACTTGTACCTTATGCTTATACCATTGAGATGAGATAAGCGTTTCTTTATTTGTCCCACAGTGGGGAATTTTCAATGTTGCAGCGCACATACAGGACAGTAGTAAGAGCACACATGGAGCACACCAAAAATACAATATAAGTAGTAGCTATGTTTAGTGCTAGCTGTAAATGCTTCAATATCAGTCTTTCGAAATATATCTCTATCTGTATATAGAAAGTGTAAAATTATATACATATAGGGCAGGATAAGTAGTTAAAGTGACATTCAGTGGACATTCTGAAATTGCAGAGGAATGACATGTAGGCTCAGCTGTTCTCATTGTACAGGTTGACACTCTAGTGGTTTAAGCCGTCCCATCTCACAATGAGTAGGATTTGCTGGGATTTATATTTCCTCGCTCCCATCTCTGTGGAGTGAAAGACAAATGCCCGGAAATAACAATTGTAAAGCGCTTTGTGACTCTGGTCTGAGAAAGGCGCTATATAAATAAAGATTACTTACTTTTTTACCTGTGTCTCCAGAATATAATCAGAGCTGAATTGCAAATCTGAAGTTCATGGAAAGTCAGTACTGGGAAGTGTGGCTTCAATACTTAATTTAAAGCTAGGGTACCTAACTTTATTTTTGCATAATAACATTTGAAAGTAAAATGGTTTTGAGAAAACATGTAATCTTGTGCATACTTGTACAAAATAGCCCTATCTGAGAGCTGATTGGCTGAGTTAGGGTGGTCCTCTCTTCTTCACTTTTCAGATCCAAAACAGCTGATCTAAAGATGTGATAGAGGCAAAAAAAAACAAACACTGATGTAAGAGCTAGTGATTGAACCAAAAAGTTTTGAGAGAAAATAACTATAGTTAAATGGCTCTGCTTATTTGTGCTTTGAAAGTTAGGTATTCCAGCTATAAGTGTGTGTGTGTATTTTACCCATATCTAGATCTCCATGACTGGTGTAAGGCCACATATACACTAAGTACATCCTACATGACCATTAGTTATTTATTAAAACTAGAACTGTCAAACGATTACATTTTTAATCAAGTTTATTACAGCTGAAAAATTAATTAATCATAATCAATCACATTTTGAACTATTGGCAAAATGATGCCATATTTTTCGGTAAATGGCTGTTTGAATGGAAAGATAAATGACAACATAGTGAACATATGTACAGTATTTGTTTATTACAACAATAAATCCACATTAAACATTATTAACATTCTGTCTTAGTAGACACTATTTTTTCAGCACGACATATTCCGCATCTTCTAAAGCCTCCTTTCTTCTTCTTCTCTGTCTCTTAAAGACTGTGGATCCTCTTCATTATTGTGTCTCTACAAACTATTGTTTGTTACAGGGATGAGAAACATTTGAAAAAAGTCTGAAGTGCATGTCAGCCAATGGCTGTCATTGACTCTGTTTAATTTGCTCACAACATTTTACTTTGGGGCACAACCAACAGGAAATGGTAGTGCAAAGGAAAAGTTAGGTACCCCAGCTTTAATTTAGCGAGTTTCGTTGCGCTTTGGGAGAAGACATGGGGAGACGGACTGTTTCTTGCAGCGCTCTATTTATTGTGTGCACTGGTCACGGAAAAAAATAATTAACGTGCGTTTTGACAATTTTGACAGCCCTAATTAAAACATTCAATAAAACAAAGATGGACTGAAACCCTGCAGACAACTTTAGGTTAACTAAGTATACTGCAGTCCACAGAAAAAAATGATGCTAACTAATTATGTGGATTTTAGACAAATACTCCACGATTATTAATCCAAATTTAAGTTACACTTGGGTGAATAATCAGGATTTTAAAACAAATCAAGGTCAAACAGAGTGACTGAGAACGGACTTTACAGGCAGCACTTTTCCTCCGCCATGAGCAATAACCTACAGCTACAAAGTCAGCGAGTGCTTACAAGACAAAAAATATTGGAATGCAATGCTGGGAGTGTGGCCTGCTTTACACATGCAGATAGAAGAGCCACCTATCTATCCTTGATCAACCAGGCCGACCGTATTGATCTCGCCCTGAGGATAGAGAGCCTTCCACTTCCTCTCAAGAGATGGACTGTCATTATCCCCACAGCCCAGTAATGAATCACAGATGTGGGGGAGGGGCTGTGGAGCAGTGGCTCTTGACATTTATGGCCCAGTCTAATGCACAGAGAGGAAGGAAGGTGGACTAGATGACCATGGTTGATAAGTTGTGCCTCTCTGTAATGAGGCTCAAAGGCAAATGTACTGACCGCTATCTGGGGCTGCCTATCTTACAAATGTCACAACTTGTAGGATCAGCCACTGCTCCTTGTCTGTAGCTGTCACTCAGGGCTGCATGGGTACTGAGGCAAAAAAACAGAATTGTGATCGTATTTCCTCTTCTGCAGGAATGATGAACAGTATAAGCCCCTGAAGACCAGTGTTTCATGACAGAAGCTCATCAAGGCAAATGATAATGGCTTAAAACAGTGACACGAGTTTCAAATCCACTTTTGATTTCCATCTTAAACTGATCACATACTGTTTGTAAAATCCAGATACTTTCATTGCAAATATGATCCAAGTTGTGACCTTTCCTAACAAATTCAAAATATTGTAAAGATTTATCAAAAAGTGCATACATTTTTATTTTTATGACCATCTCAAAGAGGCATTTATCCAGAATGACAGTAATAGTGTCATTTTTCTGACCAACTGTATTATATCTTGATATGTAATCTCTCGTGGAGTTTGCACAACAGAGGCTGAGCTTACACGGACACGGCTGGAGCTATATTGAGCTTTGCCCCTAGCTCTCCACGTTACAATGTGTGGTCAGCTCACGCCAATGAAGCCCATTACTCTTCTTCTCTCAAGGATCCAGAGAAAAGGATGGCACGGTCTCTTGCACCGAGCCATAGCCCCAGGAGTGGCCCACAATGAATCACTGTTGTACTGCAATAAAAATCAAGAGAATAGACTCTGAGTATTGTTGATAAATAACATAAGATAAGATACAATATACTTTTTCACAATGGTGAAATGTACATGTCACATTTGGCGTAGATCATAATCACTCAGGGTGTACAAAAAGACGGGAAGTGTGCAAACTGATAAAAGATTAAAATGTAGTCTCTGCAATAACAAAGAGGTTACTGCATGACCGGGGAATATGTGCTAGTTAATATACAGTTGTTGCACATTTGTTGTGTGCTAATTAAATTCCCTTGGGAAATTTCATGGTAATGTGACATTAATGTCGATGCGTGCATTTTCTAAAGAAAAATCTCCAATTGCTGAGGACAATATACACAGCTTACTCAAACTGCTTCCTAAAGTGTTGTATTAAATACAATCTTGCATTATCCAGTAGGGTGTAGCAGGCCTTTCTAGTGCGCAAACCTATCTAAAGTTGCTTCTTCACCAGAATCTTTGTGTATCGCCTTGGCCTGTTGCAATCAGAAGGACATCTTGGTCTTTAATTCATGTATTCTCCTCTGGTGGCCCTCTGCTCTGTCCCGTCCTGACATGGCAGCTTCGACTCCGCCGCGGTCAAGGCGGTGGGGCTCATTAATCTTACCAATGCTGTCCCACATTCTTCATAAACTCCCACCTCCTAATTTCCCTTATCGGTCACAGTGACTTTCTTGTGTTGGTGTTTGGAGGGCTCTCTCCAGGCTGTTAGCCAGAGGGTGCAGACAGAGCAGCGAGGGGAATGCGGCATCCGTCACAGGCTGGGAGCACTTTATCATCCCAGGTTTAGCTTTTGTCTGCCAGCGACTGCTCATTCATTTGCAGTGGATAGATTGTGCTGAGAGTATTGAGGGGTAGGCTAATGCTTTTAAGTGCAAGATTACAGCACATTTAATAATGATGTTAGTTATTGTTGCTGGCACTGCAAACTATCATTTGTCACGCACACTTCCCCCTGTTTTGGAAGTAGAATTTTCTATCCAGTTTCAGCTTAATCTTCTCCTTTTGCAAAGCAGTTGTGTTGAAAATGCATTCATCTATTTCATCAGCAACCTTTTGAAAGCAAACGGAGGCTGTCAAGACGTGTCCCAGGGCAATCAATGATGACCTATTAAAGTCTTAGCGCTCCAGATGTAACTTCAAAAGTCTGCCTTAGTGAATAAGGAAAGGAAATGTCCTCTAGATTACGGCTGTGAGATCAATCACAATCAAATCGCAAATAATGCAATTAGTGAAGTCCTTTGCAAAACACAAAAAATCTATATTTTAGAGAAATCTTCTAAAATGTTTTACTCCAAACAATTATTTCTATTGCCTCAAACTTAATCCATGATTTGAGTAGAAATTCTGTTAGAGAAGGACGCTCATCTGCCAAATGTTATGTTTATCCTGAATCCAAGTTACAGGATTTCTCTTCCTTCATGTGAAAAGAGCTGTCAGGTTTTAAATTTCACTAGATATTTCCGGCTAAACCAAATCACTTTAACATGTTCAGATATGTTTTTTTTTTAATGGTGTTTGTGTTTTTGTGTTCTTAGTGACTACCTTGAAAGTTGATCATAAACATATTTTTTTTCATTTTCCAGAAAAATTAAAGTATTTTTGTGGCTTGCTTCTTTTCTTTCTCCCCAGACCTTGATACTTTCAAATCACAGACGCCTCGAAATGCAGTGAATGTCCGTGAAGGCCAAGGAGTGGTGTTGCTTTGCGGGCCACCTGCACACTCTGGGGGTACGTTGAAGGCTATATGTTAAAAAATTATTTACTTTCAGGTTTGCAAAGAACATTTGAAAGAATGGGGCCAACCATTGTTGTGTTTTCACACATGAAGTCCTTTTTTATATCTTGTCTTCTACTAAACAAACTACTCTAATGTATGCTTGTTTTGTCTTGTTAATAATCATCTTTTACATAACACCATACAAATCTTTCTCAACACTTTCACGATACGCTGATTGAAGCTGAACATTCTTTAAGCCGACAAGGCTTGATGGCACAAAACAGATGCTTTGATTACTGTGAAAAGGATAGAGACGTAGTGTTGGGTTTAGTGCTGACAACAGGCGATGAGCGCAGTGCAGTGTCTCACTGTCTCACTGGTGTTCTCACTGGGACAAGCCCTTTTACTCAAAAGAAAAGCTTTTGAGTAAAGCTAGTCTATGGGATAATAGGTCAGTGCTAGGTGTGAAATGTATTTTGACAGCTCTCCCTTTTTACAAAGGCTTATACGCTTCAAACTGATGTAGCCAAGCTGCTGTTGTGATTTGCTATTTCAGAGGTGAGGTAAAGTAGAAGATGTCAGGTTGAATTTGTCTCTTTCAATCTTATCTTGAGAGAATTCTGCTTGATTTCTGTTGCAGTGCCCGTGCCAAGGCCAAACGCATTCAAAGGAATGTTTTGTATCAATATATCAACAAAAAACATACAATAATTCCACTTTGGAGTTGGTCTCAAATAACTGTATTTATGTAATTTTGTTGTATCCAATAGTATCAGAAGTTGGCATGTAGAAGCTGGTCCCTTTACCTTTCCAGAGGTTTTAAATACTTTTATGTATTGCATTCAAAACAACATTAAGCAACCATGCCTTGAATTGCTTTTTTCGCTTTTGACAGGAATCACTTAAATAGCGTAAAATAGCAGAATAATTATATTAAATTTATATTTTTTTAATTATGTTAAAATCCAGACTGTTACTGGGAAGCATGGAGTCATTTCAAGCAAACCTGAGCGTGAAGCGTGACCACTGACAGCATGGACAAGGTGTCAAGTGTCCAGATGGTGCATGTTATGCAATAAAACGTTATAATTAACGAACAAGACCAATTATATTCACACAAACCACACACAAGTCACATTCAATAATGTTCTTTCAAAATAATCTGCAGTGTCATGAACATATAGAGTAACTTGAAATAGGAAATAATTTAACATAAAATGAGAGGCAGTGGTTCCTTGTATAGTTCTCTTTCGCGGCCTCGCTGCCCCGTCCTGGTCCTGCTGCTCAGGGCACTGCTGCTCAGGGCACTGCTGCTCAGGGCACTGCTGCTCAGGGCACTGCTGCTCAGGGCACTGCTGCTCAGGGCACTGCTGCTCAGGGCACTGCTGTCTCAAAGCATTGATCTGCCCACGCTAGTGCAATCAGCAGTGGTTAGTTCAGGAGGTTAGAAAAGTGCACACGTGTGGTGACGTGCTTTACAGCCTCAAAACATGTAGTTGACTCCAGATTTAGGTTATTCGTAAACCGTGGGATCACGTTTTGTTCTGCACTTTGAGTTGCCTTGTGTAAAAAATTTTATTAATTGCTCTAAACAAATACACTTGCCATGCCTATATCTACAGTTGTATGGCGTAGAAGAAAGTGTTGTTTTTTATGGTTTGATGTCAATTATGAAACTCTGAATTAATTTAAAATTTATTTAAAGCTCTTGTCTGGAGTTTGTCAGAAAAAACGAGAGAGAGGTACATGATTTGAAAAAAATGACCCAAGCTCCCTCCCCCTTCCTTTCTGATTGGTCTACGCCTACGTTTCCGTAACAATCAATCAACACATTTAAATGTTTATCTGAGAACACATTATACATATACATTAATAATACACATGCACAAATGTTTTCAGAATTATTTGTGAACAATTTTATGACAAAAAATGTTTATGACAATGCTTTAATGCACAAAAAAGCGATATCGGTAAACTCAAAAGTAGCTATGAACATTCATTGAACATTATAGGACACATCTGCAGAGAATCTGATTATGGATATAGGTTTAGTATATAAATGATTATGGATATAGGTTCAGTATATAAATGATTATGGATATAGGTTCAGTATATAAATGATTATGGATATAGGTTCAGTATATAAATGATTATGGATATAGGTTTAGTATATAAATGATTATGGATATAGGTTTAGTATATAAATGATTATGGATATAGGTTTAGTATATAAATGATTATGGATATAGGTTTAGTATATAAATGATTATGGATATAGGTTCAGTATATAAATGATTATGGATATAGGTTCAGTATATAAATGATTATGGATATAGGTTTAGTATATAAATGATTATGGATATAGGTTTAGTATATAAATGATTATGGATATAGGTTTAGTATATAAATGATTATGGATATAGGTTCAGTATATAAATGATTATGGATATAGGTTTAGTATATAAATGATTATGGATATAGGTTTAGTATATAAATGATTATGGATATAGGTTCAGTATATAAATGGTAACTCAGCGCGGATGTTCAGAATTCTTTGTTCAGATTTCATGAAGTTCCAGAGCCTATAAAGGCTTGATTCGGAGGCTCCTTGAAAACAAACAACTGAGCATGCGCGCAGCTACGAGCATGAGTGCCGATGATTGACAGCCCTTGGCATCACTTGATTGGTTAACGTGGACGGCATCGTGGATTTTGAGCTATAGCTAAGAGAAGGGAAGGCGGGACTTACCCACAAAATTATAATTCATAAAATGACTTATTTTTTATCAACTTTTAAGGCCAGTAGGTCAATTTAATACAATTCTTAAAATGTTTAACTAATTTAGAGTTCCAGACTATTACTTTAAATCAATAAAAAACATGTTTTTTGTACACATCTAACTCCAAACGACAATTTTCTTCTACGTAAAAGAGAATGTTTTTTTTTGTGCAGACTCGCAAATATGTACAGTATGTTTGAACTGACCATCACTAAACCTTCCTCCAACAGTAATACATTCATACCAAGACGCAACATTCCTCTTTAATCCATGTTATTATTATTGAGAGTGTTTATGGCTGCATGCTGTAAGTGGGTTCGATGCTCGGGGAATTCAAAACGATGGTGTCAGGGGAGGACCACTGACGCGCTCTAATGCATTTGTTTCGCTCTCTTTCCTAAAGTCTATCCAATTCTTCTGCGCTGATAGCTGTTCCGTGCGAATCCTTCATCCCAAAGGAATCCCCGATAAGTAAAGAAATATGGCGAGATATGCTAAAACTTTAATACCACTGCAGATTCTGTTCTTTTTTCTGTCCATCTGTCCTAGCCATCTCTGCCTGATGTATCGAATGTATAAAAGAGACACTCAGCATGTATCCGCTCTCTGACTTTCTCTCTGGCTTTCACTTCTAGAGCTGACATTTGCTTGGATCTTCAACGAATACCCCTACTTTGTTCAACAAGACAGTCGGCGTTTCATCTCCCAGGAGACGGGCAGCCTGTACATCGCCAAAGTGGAGCGGTCGGACGTGGGGAACTACACGTGTGTGGTGAACAACACGGTGACTAGGGACAAGATGCTCAGCTCGCCCACGCCGCTGGTGCTCAAGAGCGATGGTATGATGGCTCTTCTGATCATGACTATTTATGTGGTGATGTGGGCGCCAGAGCAAACACTAAAAAAGATGATAGAATATGAGCTAATAAATACTGAAATCGAGCGTGATTTTTTTCTTGAGTACATTCTCTTACATTGTCTTAAAGGAGCAGTATGTAAAAATCTGTCCAAAAGTGGTGCTGTAACCTCTCCCACTTTCCTGACTCAGGTTGCCAGATATGCAGACGAATCCAGCTGGGACCCTAATATCTGGAAAGAAAGAGTTTTGTCAACAATAAATATTTAACCTTTTTCACAAAGGCCCCGATAGAAATCCTAGTTTTATTCCTTGTTTTTTCATTTATGATTTGAGAATCATAACAAGACGTTTTTTAGTTCTGCAGCCAGATGTTGTTTTACCAGTGAGATTAGCTTGACAGGGTGAGGACTTTCTAATTAGTAAAACAGTGGAGGGCGGGAAATCGAAATGAAAACAATAACATGATTTAAGGACTGTAAAACTAATATTGAAATTCTAATATATCGGCTGAAATACTGTCATCAGTTAAAGAAGTGTTAAAAAAGAACATGGTTTCTTAATGCCTTTTGACATATTAGGGGCATTTAATGATGACTTAATATGAAGATCAAATTTTAACATTATTTTTTACATTTTTATTACTTGTCATCTGGGCATTTGCTTGCTTTAGTACTTGAAACATGATCAAGGTGAGCTCAGTATTTATGTGCCCAAAAATATGATGATATAATTGATATAATTAAAAATTCACTGTTTATATTAATCAGTGTAGAAAAAAACTGCATACTAAAACATTTACAATTTGAATCAAGCAATTACAAATAGTAGAATGTGGTTCAAGCAAGAATAGACGAGAAGACCTTTTCCCCTTCCATAATATAGATGTATTTTTCTAAAGCAAAAACCACCTTTTAAAAGCCTTTGCAAATAAACACAAGCATTTGACTACGTCTTAGTGAAAAACCAAATATACTGTACAAACATCTCCTGGCATAGTTTTCCAGAATTGTTATGTAAGTATGGATCTGTTTTTGCCATCAAAGAGCAAACAAAATCGATTGAAGATTGAAACTTTATTCTCCTCCAAGATATTTGACACAAAATCCCATATCTTTCCTCATTCATTTGATTCTGCCCAAAAGTCTAATCTTCTTATAAATGTAGACGCCATTTATTGACCAAAGAAAAGCCAATAAATGCCATCTTTTAATTGAGAATACAAAAGTCCCGGACACTCCACTGTGCAGAGGATGAATATAAATAAAGGCATAATGAAGGCAGGTGATAAATCTGCTCGCAGCCATCTTCTTTGATGAGTTGCCTGAATCTTTTATAAGCTCTCTTTGATTTCTTGTTTCCAGCCGTGTCCCTGCAGTGGTCACAGATGCTGAGTGCTCTTAAAGACTTGACCTGGTTGCTGCTGCCAGGCCACTCTGATCCAGCATGGTCTCTCCGTGCTCTTAATCATTCATGCCAAAACCTTGTTGTCTCTGCTGTCTGTTGTAGGCGTAATGGGAGAGTACGAACCCAAAATAGAAGTCCATTTTCCAGACTCTGTACCGGCTGCTAAGGATTCAGTGGTCCAACTGGAATGCTTTGCCTTGGGAAAGTAAGTCCACTACTATTATCTTTTCACATCAATAATTTACAACATTTGAATATTTAAACAATGATCATTGATGGTAATAAATTGGTCTACAGAGTTAAGAGTTCCCAATCTAAAAAGTGACAAAGTATACCAGTAAATTCCTTGCCTGGGGAAAAAAAAGTTATATCAAAAGTTATTGTATATCTGGTACAAAATGTTTGCATAAGTTATAGTTGTACAAATCAGTATAAAGTTGTCCTATTTCAGTTTCAATCTTTTCATAAAGTCATTATTTATTTGAAACTGATAAAGTAAATATCTAAAGGTCCTGAAAATGAAAACTTCTTTGGCACATTCCTAATGATAATAATATGAATGCATTTCAGGACACTCAAAGACACTTCACATTGGTAAAAAACTACTGCAGTGGCCACACTGATAAAAACGAGGCAACCAGCATGTGCCATCGGCCCCTCCGCCCATTCATTCAAGGCATTGCAGTTGAAGTGTCTTGCCTACGGACGACAGACACAGAAATAACCAAACCTGGTTAGTTTTCTGAAGCGTCAGAACTCTGAAGCTGTTCTTCAAAGGTCTGACAGGATCTGGCTTTTGCATGCAAGTGTGGCCACGGAAAAATCCATGATATTGATCTTTTGTGAGATTTTAATGCAATGTTTGCGTCTAACTGGCCTTCATCAGGCCTATTGGGCATAGAAAAACCAAGCCATTTCTAAAGGCATCAACAATTTAAAACAAAAAAGTATTAGTTGTTTTAACAAAGAAAGATGGGCCTTAAAATGTATGGTTATCTGTATGTTGCATGTTGCATTGGAGAATTGAAAGAATAACATAATTTCTGTGAAGAGAAAGACAAAAGGAGCCGTATCATTTGAAGTTGCAGTGAAATGCCAGTGAACAAGACCTCAACACTACTTTGGCTTCAGCTTCTCTCCTGCTGCTTCTATCACACTTTGATGGATCATTGGATTTTTTTCTTCTTTAATTTACAGTCCTGTTCCAGAAATCAGCTGGAGGAGAATCAGCGGTGTTCCATTCCCCAGCAAAGTCAAAATGAAAAACTCAAATGCAGTCCTCCATATACCAAGTTTTCAACAGGAAGATGCAGGGACATATGAATGCGTCGCCGAAAACCGACGGGGGAAGAACGCAGCCAAGGGTCGGCTTTCATTTCATGGTTAGTTCAACAGGATCAATGCACTTCACATGAATGATCTGTTTTGTTTATAATTTTACATACTCCCATAAATCCTTTGTGTGTGAATTTCTGTTAATGTCTGTAGGGCTGTTGTTTTTATTTCAAGGTTGTGTTTATGTTGTAGACTTCTGTTTCAGTTATAGGGCAGGTGCCAAACAACCTTATCACCAGACTAAATATCACTATTTCTCATAGGAAAGGTTTTTCATTTATTGAGCGTTGCAAACATCTACCTCATAACGTATGTCACGCAACCAAAATTTGGCGAGAATGGAAGAAGCAAAAAAGACGAATTGTGTTTACGTTGACTAATTCAGTTTTGAACATGACAAACAATGAATGGAGCTTGCAAGGGAAAATTGCTTTGCTTCATGTTGAATATGTAAACAATCTGCAAGATTCTGCCAAATAAGGTTTCATCATATTCTTGCCCTATTCTGTGATTGGTCCCCAAATCCATGCAAAAAAATCGTCCAGGGTTGCCATGCTGTTGTGCAGTTCAAAATGTTTTGCGCTCACACAGCAGCATGGGGTTGCCATTAGGAGCCAATACAACTCTATGGAAAACGAGCAATTTTTTTATTAAATGTTGAAGAAAATGTCTCCTTACATATTCCAAGATCATTACTTACTGTAGGAATTAGATTCATATTGTTCTTATGTCTGAGTGTTCTTTCTACTGACAAACATCATGCATGTTTTTTGAATGTTGTTTTCACTTCTTGGCACATTTATAAAACAATTTGATATTTTCTTTGACATTACAATTAACACCAGATCACAGTGCAATCAATACATAATTGATAGCAATAAAATGATACTGTACAATTTGGGTAAAATACATAATAGGTAGGTTTTGACTAATTGATGGACTGGGAATGTTTTTAGTTGACCAAGAATATAATTTGTGAGTTTTTTTATTATACCTTAAGAATGAAAAGTCATACTGAATAAATTGTGTTGATGTCAGCACTTTGTTTTGTCTGTGTAGATAGCTTAAGTGACAGAAAACAGTGCAGAAGGAGGTCATGAATGTTTGCCAAAAGTTGTAAATTAAATTAAGAGTTGAATACAGGTCAAGGTTTTCTGCTTTATTCTATCACAACAACAAAAAACCTGCAAACTAATCATCTGGCTTGTACCATAAAGATTTACCATAATCCCCCATTTTGAAAGAAAAAACCTGAATTACTGGACGTCTCGAGAAGCTGTGATGAGGTTCCGCTCATCCAATTCTGCTGTCATTATACAGTAAAGACATGTTTGAACAATGTAATCCTCCCATTTGTGCTCAGCGAAACCTCAGTGGGTGCAGACCATAGACGACACCGCTCTGTCCATCGACCAGAGACTGTTCTGGGAGTGCAAGGCCAACGGGAAGCCCAAAGTGTCCTACAGCTGGCTCAGGGACGGACAGCCACTTTCACCAGAGGTATTTTTCAATTTTTTTTCAAGGTTCCATCGACCTGGTATTAACAATTAAACGTTTTCCCATTGTTAAAGCTGGGGTACCTATAGCTTTTTTATTTTGAGTTTTTTTTTTTTACTTACGTAAAAGTAAATTGTTGGGTAGGAATCAGATCAGATCATGATGTCTCCATCTCATGTTATCTTTAGTAAATTTATAAGAAAGAGCCCAAAAAACAAAAATACATGCATATGAAAACTAGTGATAGAGACAAATTGTTTTGAGAGCAGTTTTTCTGTTAGGATTTAGACTTTCAACTGTTTTATTTTCCTTACTTTTGTTTAATTCACCAGTTTTAGCACTTAAAGGAGCTATACCCGTTTCTGCAAGGTTTTGTGTTGTTTGAATGTTTAGCACCGCCCCCCAACTCGCCCACAGCCTTCTCATTTCCCCTACGCTCTCCTCCCACAGAGCCATCTAGTTTTATTTCCTATCTGATGAAAACATTAGCGCAACTTCTTGTAAGCTGCACAACAATCACTGATGAAATGGTGCAAAAGCAACACACTGCTAACAAAATATATAACAAAAAGATTACCGCTAGTTTCGCGTCCGAATGTAGTCCGAGTATAGATAGTCCGAGGCGGTCCTGCTCCAGCAGGTCTCTCCAGAGGATACGATGTAAGCTAACGCTACGTATATTCACTCGGGCTTGATTTCTTCTTTGTTCATTTTTTTGCTTTAGTTCCCTCTTCTCTTCCTCACTGTTGCGTCGTTTGGGCTGTTTTGCTGTGTCTGCAGTTACAGTCAGAGGAGTTAGCCTCTTTCTGCCTCCATTCTGCTCTTGTTTATATGCGCTGTAGAGGCTAGAGTAGGCAGCCTATTCTAACGGCGCTGTTCCTCGTTCTGTGATTGGAAGAGAGCAGCGTCCCGCTAAGTCTCTAATCAGCACTTTTTACAACCTGAATTAATACACAAGCTGAGTCAATGAGCTCAAGTTTCAATTAAATCACGGATTATTTTTCAACTTGTATGTAAGCATTTTTATGAAAAAAAAAAACGGGTATAACTTCTCTAAACGTGAGTATGGGGAAAGCCCTTATAAAAGTTTTTTTTTCCTGAGAGTTCTACTAAGCATCCTTTGGGCGGTTAGCGTTTGTGCTTCACAAAAAGATGGTCTTGGGTTTGATTTCACCTCTAAACACGGCCTTTCTGTCTAAACAGGAGTTTACATGTTCTCCCTGTGTCTTCCTCTGGGTGCTCCAGTTTCCCCTACGACTAAAAAACAGGCAATAGGTACAATAGGCGAGAGAGGAAAACGTGCTTTGTTACTCTAATGTTATGAACGTTAAAGGGATTATAAATGAAGATTACTTTCTTTCTGACTTACTTTCGAACGTTTGAAGTTGCTTTAGTGTCACAAGACTTTTAGTGTCAAAAGATGAGGTGAGGTGAACAACAGGTTATTCAAAGTGTGAAAAGAGACACATTGCTGCTATCTTTTCATTTAAAATTTAATAATTTACAAATTATATTATCTTTGACTTTTGTGTGAAAAAAGTCACCTCTCGCCCTTGAGGACCCGCCACTGTCAAAGTGCAAAAGAACCATTTAAAAAGACACTATTACAGTTAATGAAGTGCTACTTTCAGAATTAATTTTGCTTTAACATTTTTTTTTCACCTTGATGAGTGAAACATAAATAAAGATCAATTAATAAACCTGCATTATTCTATTTGGGTAACATTAGACAGAGGCATGGATCTAATATATTAATTTGCATTTGTTTTTTTATTTATTTATCCATCTCAAACATGTAAAAGATAATCAGCAATCATCAACAGAAACATTGAATATAATAATTAAAACAAACAATGAAGCAAAAGACTTTCTTGGTGTAAAAAAGCATCTTAAAATGTGTATAATCTGGGGTTTTGGAATGATAAGATAAGATAAACTTTATTGTTCTCACAATGGAGAAACTTACTTATATTAAACAAATATTTATACTTCAGGGATTTACGGTCAAAGAATTGCACTCAAAACAAGTACGTCATGAGTTCAGAAGTTGTTTCTTTCACTGATAGAAAAAAAAAACTGCTTGACTCTGCTGTAAGGTCCGTGTGAAGTGTGTTTACAAAAGCCAAAGCTCTGATTCTCTCTTTCCAGCCACATTGTGCTGTAGTTTCTTTAGGAATACGGTGAAAATGTCACAATCCAATTTATATTTGAAAATAAAGCAGACTTTCGCCGGTGTTGAGGAGGGATTTTGCTGGAGTTGTTTCCCTCAAAATGCATAGAAATCCTTATATTATATACTTTGACCAAGACGAATGGAGAGATCAAGAGCCAAACATATTTCACATATCAGGGAACATATTTATTATCGGAATTAATATATTGACTGATAATTCTTGGCCACCAATTTTGTGCATCTAATCTGTATTTCTAATATCTCTTATGTCCTCTACAAAAACGTCCAAATTATCTGAAAACCTGAAAGCCAATGAATGTGGGTCTGAGGGCCACATTTAGCTCTTGGGCCATGGTTTGGACACCTTTCACTGCACTCATTGTAATCTGATGCCATCATTTAATGTTGGGAAAGAGTTCCATGAATAAAAAAAAACACAGTGCAATTAAAATTGTGACAACATCCCCTCTGCAGGAGAGATTAGAGAGGCGAGACGGCATTTTGTCATTTTGTCATTTTACCTTTTTCAACACAATACCACAACAAAGCAAATGGATTTTTCATTCACTTTTGCTTTTGTCACTTTTGTTTTTCCTCTATGTGAGTACAAGAGCGGTTAGCAATTTCCACCGCTTTCACCTTACAAAACTTTATTACAACTGGGCCAACTCCTATTTGCTTTTTATTTTTTCCCAATATCACATCCCTCTCTCACTGTCGTCCTCCCTTCATGGTGTACCAGTAATTGCAGCTGTGCCTTTGGACATAATAGAGTGGCCTTGCGATGGATATGCCAAATGTTTGTCTCCTCCACAGGGTCAGTTGCAAATCGAAAACGGAGCACTTTCCATTTCAGCGCTCAACCTGTCAGACTCTGGGATGTATCAATGTGTGGCTGAAAACAAACATGGGATTATCTATTCCAGCGCACAGCTAATGGTGCTAGGTAAGACACTCATATTTTCATTTTGCTTTATGATTAGTCTGCCTTTAATCTAGGCTTCTATTGAAGTGAAGTACTCTTTCTATAGACATCCTTTGGGCCTCCATGTCTCTTGATCAGTATGTGGGTTATATGGGGATAAAACTTCTATTGATTTTATTTTCTTACTGATCAAGCCGTGCATGTCTACTTTGTGTTGTGTATACATAGGTGGACTATTGATTGCTTTCCAAAATATATTCCAAACACGGCTTTTGACAAATAGATAAGACAAAAATAAGAAATTATGATGGTGCTTTCAGACCGCAAACGCTCAAACGCTGAAGCCTCGCTCACCAGACGCGCATTCTCTAGTTTTCAGACGCACAGGACTTCACACCAGAACGTGTTGACCAGCACCGGAAGTGGCGGAAGTAGCCGGCCGGCTCTGATGCTAACAGAGTTATGCTAGCGGCTTCTCGTGATCTTTTCCAATAATGCAGCTTTGCAGCGTGTCTGTGTTCAGAGACCTTCCACGGCCTTTATATAACAGTAGTATGTGTTCACGGAGGTGCGCAATAAGTTTATTTTAATATTAAACGGTTCTTCTGCGTAGGCGAACACACTCAAAGCAGTTGCATAAAGTCACGGGAGCATGAAAACGCACAAGCACACAGTCCTTCATTGTCAACCCTGGTTTTAGTCCTGGTGTAGCTCCTGTTTTGACAGTTTACAGTATTTTCAGTCTGCTCGCTCAGTCCGCAAATGTCCCCGTGACCACTTTGCGGCCCTCTGATTGGTCGCCGCAAGAACATCCCGAGGAAATCTCCTGTGGGCGTTGATTTTCCGCTCCTGCACCTCCCCTTCGACTTTCCCGCGCAGTCCGTGCGTCTCTACTGAGCGGCCCGTTTGTGCTTCCCAAGACGTTCGTGCGTTTTGACTACCATGTTTTGTCACCATAGACTTTGCATTGAAAGCCGACGCAACGCATGATCCGGTCTGAAAGCACCATGAGACTATCCCTTTAATGGTTTCCTCAACTGTTTGTTAGATCACCTTTTAAGTCACTATATATACTTAAAGCATGATTGGAGCTGAAGTAGGGGTGGGTAATATGGACAAAAATAAATATCTAGATACTGATAACGATATTGTCACAATATCTTTAAAATCAATCATTTTTACAAAAAAATAATCTGTAATGTTTTGCTTGCCAGATTATCTATAGATAGAGAAAGTGTAGATCTAAATAGAAGCTTTTTATTTGTAAAGTGCTTCACACATCTTTTCAAAACAAGCACTAACATTGATTATTATTAAAAACCTAATTCACGTAACACAGAAAAAACACATCCATAAAGGCTAACTCAATATTTACTGAAATGTACAAATAAAGCAGTGATTGGCTTTTTAGGCACACATGAGGGTCCGTGTACTTTTGCGTTCAATACATTTTCTATTATTGAAGGGAAATGGAAAATCGAAAAAGGGCTATTTTGCATTTTCGGGCACACAGCAATATACAAAAATAACCATTTTGGTTTTTTCATTACTTATAAGACATATATATATAATAATAACCGGATTTTGGGAACTAGAAAATGCAATAATTAACCTTTTTTAATATGTATTTAATACATTTCGGCGTCAATCGATTACCCGGAAGTGAAACAAGTTTGTTTACTTCCCTATTCGCTCCTGTATTTGTCCAAACACAGACGTTCTGTGATAATACTAATCCCGTGAGAATCTACATGTCAGTGATTGTGATCGCTATCGCCGCTTTCAATAACAATAAGCAGAGGAGTCGCATATCGCGGCTGTGAACACCTGCAGAGTTGCGGCTGCTGCTGTCTCTGTGAGGTCTATGGAGAAGTGTAGAGCACAGTGCAATCTGTTCACTGACACTAAATGATCAGCGTTGCATTTGTGCGCTTACTTTGCACTGTCATAAAACAGTACATACATGTTGCTGTAGCCGTTACTATTTGTCGGCTCGCACTTATTACTTATATTAGTATGTGGTTCACAAGTAGTCCATACAAACTATTATTACTAACATTACAGACAGTATGAGCTGTAGAGCAGTAAAATGTTTGTCCTCATGGTCTCTGTGGCTTCTGTGGTCCATAGACTTTCTAGTTCAAAATTTGGTTATTATAATATATATATGTCTTGTGAGCAATGAAAAAAACCCAAAATGGTCATTTTTGTATATTGCTGTGTGCCTGAAAATGCAAAATGGCATTTTTTCGATTTTCCATTTCCCTTCAAAAATAGAAAATGTATTGAACACAAAAGTACACGGACCCATGAGAATGGGCATCTTTCCTTCTCTGATTGTAATATGTATCAAAAAATAAAAAGGACAATAATACAAAAAAGCCTATCTTCAAATTGACTCTCACAATATTATTGTCTACGATATATTTTTCCCTCCCCTAAGCTGAAATATACCTTTTTTGGGGCATTTCACTTGGTTTTAGGCACTTCTACCATCAAACTGCATCTCAACCATTTGGTAAAGGCCAAACATTTAAAAAGGGATAGAAAAAACAATACAAAAACATCTATTACTTACTGAATGTAAAAGTTCAAATCTTAAAAATCCAAAATGTATCTTTATGAGACAGACAAGACGACACTGGGAAAAAAAAAAAAATCAACATTTAGTCCAATCTCTAAGTACTGATTACTGATGCAAACCACCTTCACCTGTATTTATTTAAATAGGTGTTAAAATACATTGCTTTCGTCAAGGAGTAAATGTTAAAGGTGATAGTTCCAGACAGATAATCTAGATTGTGAATGTCCGTCTGTTCCACCTCCAATGATTTCAGCCATTCTCCCTCACGCTCCCTCAAACTCGGGCACTCATCAGTCTAGTGTTGACCTGGGTGGTCTCGTGTTTCTGCTCCTCTGCTTTTGCTTTCACAGTGCAGCCATAGAAGTATAATACAACCTGGAAGATGGGTCCAAGATGCCGGACAGTTGTATAGAATGAAAGCGCTCAAGTGATGATTTGAAGGCTTTTTTTTTTTTATGCCGCCTGACCCAGGTTAAAAATATAGGATTTATATTATTAGTATTATTCAGTGCTGATCACTATCTAAGAGTGCAGCCATGAGTGATCCACCAAGGCTTTGTCCCCGTGTATAAATGATTCAGTTCTGTTGTTTTTGTTGCCAATTGAAATATAGTTCTGCCATTGCCTTTTCTAATTGTCTTTTGAGTTGAGTTTAAGTTGAATGTATTAAGGACAATATGCGGTTACATTAAAAAGATGGCGGCACCAGATCAGCTCCACCAGCTCCATCTGTAGTCATTGGCAATACAATCATAGGCAAGGCACGTTTATTTATAATGCACAATTCATACACAAGGCAACTCCAAGTGCTGAACAAAACACAATATAGACAGTCACACAAGGCCTTGAATTCATGAATAATCACAGTACATTCAATTTTAAACTGGATTTGAAAATTGTCAGAGATATACACCAACATATAACTTACAGATTAAAATACAGTTTAGTAAAAAGTTACCTGCATATATAATGTTGTATGCGTCCTTTCACAGTTGATCACAGTCTTATATAAATGAAAGCGTAGACGCATTGAAGCCGTGCCAGTGTGGTTTTTTTTAAACACTTGTGTCCTCTCTCTCCCTCTGCAGCTTCACCCCCGAATTTCTCCAAAAGTCCGTTGAGAGCCCTGTTAAAAGCCCGCTCTGGCAGCACGGTGGCTCTTGAATGCAAGCCCCAGGCCTCACCCCCAGCCATTAGCCTGTGGAAGAAAGGCAACGAGATCCTGCAGCGAAGCGAGAGGTGGGAGACGTCATCCAGTGCTTATTCCACAGACACATTGTATTCACATTTGCAGCAACAGGACTGCTTGAAGACCACATACGTATTTGCTTAAAGAGAGGGGGATAGCTGCCGAAAATAGCTTTGATTTCTGAAATATATCGGTTTTGGTGAAAAAATATCTCGGTTTTGGTCGAAGAAAAAAACAAAGACAAGTGCCTAAATCTGTAAAATAGTCATATTGAAATTAAAATGGCATCCACTCAATTTTGTTTTTGTTTTTTCATTCCAACAGTTTAAACTTATATTGAAAGATCAAAAGAACACGGGATCAGGTGCTGACTCATATTTCTCGTTTCCTTTCAAGAAATATGAATGTAGCCTTGGCGACCATGTTGCCAGGTGGGACACGTTCAAGCAAAAGTTCAAAATGCTTTTCATAACAAATTGAATGATTTATACAGTATTTTTGTGTTTCCAACAAGTTTTTGTGATACAATGTACTGCTTGATTTAACTCTAATCATTCACAACTGCTGGAACAAAGGAAATTGAAACCTATTTTAGTTGATAACCTGTACATACTCTGAAGGAAAAGAAGGTCCTGGGTTTGATTGCACCTCTTCCCGTGTCTGCATAGGTTTCCTCCAGGTGCTCCGGTTTCCCCTAAACACTAGAGTGAATGGATGGTGTTGGTTAATAAACATTTCTTACTACAATAAGCACCTCTTGATATTTTTTTGGAAATTATTTTCTATTTTGCGCCGCGTTTACTTTCTATGTCTTTGCCAAATAAAAAGGCATCATCATGAGTCCCTGATACAGTATGTCCTTCCACAATATTAATTTCAAGGCATTTTGTTTCCAGACGGCACATAGCTAGACATATTATTCCACCATATAATTTTTCCACTCAGAACAATCACATATTTACAGGAGAGATTATTTTACTCAAATGAATACAATATGCATGAAAATATTCACTGAAGAAATGAACATACAGCACCATTCTAATCCACAAGGAAGACGTCTTTGTTCTATTTCCACAAAAATAGCATTGTAAGCTATCCGAAATGTGAATAAATTAAAATGTCCTTACATCTCTGCAACACAAATATCTTGCTGAACATTTGCTGGAGCTTATTACTGTACACTCAGGGCCATCTCACCGCTGGAGTTCACGGTCTGCTGCTGCGTAGGTCATATTTCTGGCCTTCATTAATACGTTGGGCTTTTAGAAAACATTTAGCGATGTGTTCCCAGCATGACAGCGCTCCTCTCTGAACCCACAAACGCTAAGCCGGTAATGCACAATTTATGTATTCATTGCCTTTTTTGGTTATACTGTTGGCGAAATGTTCACTAAAATGTCCTAATTCCACTGATTCAAGGCGATAGGTCAGACTCTGTGCTGTCAGCCCACTTAAATTGAATTCATGTTTTGGACTGATGTGCAAAATGCCTTGTATACGGGTTGTTTTATTCACAGAGCATTAAGAGATCACGACATTGTCCATTTGAATAGGACAATCCGTGTTTTTTTTCCAATATGCTTAATATGAAAAGGCAGATTTCTCTGTTGTCAGACTAAGTAAATGGGTTAGCATCTTTCCAAAGCTTTATAAGGATGAAAAATATGATATTCTGGACAGCAGAATGGGTCTTTCATTCGGGTTGCAAAACTGGCAACCCGAATGAAAATCAGCTATTTTTGTCTCATTTTTGTTCTAAATTTACAATGAAAAAAAACTAGCACCACACATATTTAAATGAAACTAGTTACAAAAAATAAGGAGTCCGATACACCACACATAATTTATATAGTTTCTAGCTAAACCCAGCAGGGGGTTTCCCTCAGTAATCAGTGCTTAGAGGTTTTTTTTTTTTCAGTAGCGTCTTATCTGTCTCATACAGATACATTTTTGGATTTTAACTTTTACATCCAGTAAGTATTAGAATTTGTTTTGTTTCCCCTTAGAATCACCCTCGTGCCCAATGGAACACTACAGATTACCAACGTCACCAAGCTGGATGCAGGAAGTTACACATGTATCGCCAAGAACCAGTTTGGGACTGCCAGCACCTCAGGAAGGCTAATCATAACAGGTGAGCCCGGAAGAGGATACTCAAAAGATGTTAGTGGTTTGAAGTCAAGCTATAGTTGGTGTAATAGTTGTGTATTTTTATTGTTCTATATTTCAGACAATATCCTACATAATTATTAAAGATTAATTATTGTTGTAGGAATCAATTACAGCTATTCAAAAAAGGCTGATAGAACTGTTCCATTTATTAACAGCATCCATCATATGCCCACGATTCTAATTAAGACACGGTTGCAATCATTTCCTCTTCTGGTTGTAGCATTCAAGCACAATTATAACACGGCAACATAATTCTTGATGTGACATGTTCATTGACCCAGTATTTACTGTATGTACAACACGTAATTGGTGTGGGTGGTAATTCAGATTGTGCGTCATATGTATTGTTTTTTCACTTATCATTCTCTCCTCATTAACCCCCATTCGAGCCCACTTAATGTAATTTATTTAATTACCATGACCTTTCCTGATAGCACAATACTGATTCCAGTCTACCATAACCATCCGCTTCACTTACAGGCTTGAAACAGTGCTGGACTTTTTAAGGCTTGTAAATAAATAGAGTCATATTATCTTTATTTATTAAATGCAATTTAATACAGCCCCCCTGGACTCCGAGTACTCAAACTGGGGGAGTTTGAGTACTTGGGTGATCCTGGGAGCTATGCTGTCTGGGGCTTCATGCCCCTGGTAGGGTCTCCCATGGCAGACAGGTCTCAGGTGACGAGTCAGACGAAGCGCAGTCCACAACCCGTCATGGATCGCACTAAAAGAGAAAAAGTGACGTCGCCCGGCATGGCGCAGCCGGGGCCCCACCCTGGAGCCAGGCCTGGGGTCGGGGCCCGAAAGCGAGCGCCTGGTGGCCGGGCCTTAGCCCACGGGGCCCGGCCGGGCTCAGCCCGAAAGGACGACGTGGGCAGTCCCTCCTGTGGGCCCACCACCCGCAGAGGGGTCCGTGGCGGCTCGGTGCAGAGAGGACTGGGCAGCGGTCGAAGGCGGAGACCTCGGCGACCCAGTCCGCACACCCAACATCTGGCTCTTGGGACGTGGAACGTCACCTCACTGGGGGGGAAGGAGCCCGAGCTTGTGGGGGAGGTCGAGAGGTACCGACTAGAGATAGTCGGCCTCACCTCCACACACAGCTTGGGCTCTGGAACCCAACTCCTTGAGAGGGGTTGGACGCTCCACTTTTCTGGTGTTTCTCACGGGGAGAGGCGGCGAGCTGGGGTGGCCATACTCATTACCCCCCATCTCAGCCGCCACGTGTTGGAGTTCTCCCCGGTGAATGAGAGGGTCGCGTCCCTCCGCCTTCGGGTGGGGGACAAGTCTCTCACTGTTGTGACGGCCTACGGGCCTAACAGCAGTGTAGAGTACTCGGCCTTCTTGGAGTCCTTGGGAGGGGTACTGGACAGTGCACCGCCCGGGGACTCCTTCATTCTCCTGGGGGACTTTAACGCCCATGTGGGAAGCGGCAGTGACACTTGGAGAGGGGTGATCGGGAAGAACGGCCCCCCTGATCTGAACCCGAGTGGTGTTCAGTTGTTGGACTTCTGTGCTAGTCACGGTTTGTCCATCACGAACACCATGTTCGAGCACAAGGGTGTCCACCAGTGCACGTGGCACCAGGACACCCTAGGCCGGAGGTCGATGATCGACTTTGTTGTCGTATCATCTGACCTTCGGCCGCGTGTTTCGGACACTCGGGTAAAGAGAGGGGCGGAGCTGTCAACCGATCACCACCTGGTCGTGAGTTGGATCCGCTGGCAGGGGAGGAAGCCGGTCAGACCTGGCAGACCCAAGTGTGTAGTGAGGGTCTGCTGGGAACGTCTCGCTGAGAACCCTGTCAGACGGACTTTCAACTCACACCTCCGGGAGAGCTTCTCCCAGGTCCCGGCGGAGGAGGGGGATATCGAGTCTGAGTGGACCATGTTCTCTTCCTCTATCGCCGATGCGGCAGCTCGTAGCTGTGGTTGCAAGGTCTCTGGTGCTGGTCCCGGCGGCAACCCCCGAACCCGGTGGTGGACACCGGCAGTAAGGGATGCCGTCAGGCTGAAGAAGGAGTCCTATCGAGCCATGATGGTTCGGGGGACTCCTGAGGCAGCTGTCCAGTACCGGCTGGCCAAGCGTGCCGCGGCCCGGGCTGTTGCAGAGGCAAAAACCCGGGACTGGGAGGAGTTCGGAGAGTCCATGGAGCATGACTATCAGTCGGCCTCGAAGAGATTCTGGCAAACTGTCCGGCGCCTCAGGAGGGGGAAGCAGTTCTTTGCCAACACCGTGTACGGTGCGGGGGGTGAGCTGCTGACCTCGACCGGGGATATTGTCGGACGGTGGAAGGAATACTTCAAGGTTCTCCTCAATCCCCCCGTCACGTCCTCCGCCCCGGAGGCAGAGGCTGAGGATGTTGGGGCGCATACTTCTGTCACCCTGGCAGAGGTCACCAAGGTGGTTGGCAGCCTCCATGGTGGCAAGGCGCCGGGAGTGGATGAGATCCGTCCTGACTATCTAAAGTCTCTGGATGTTGTAGGACTGTCTTGGCTGACACGTCTCTGCAACATCGCGTGGCGATCGGGGGCGGTGCCAATGGAGTGGCAGACCGGGGTGGTGGTCCCTCTCTACAAGAAGGGGGACCGGAGGGTGTGTTCCAATTATCGTGGGATCACACTCCTCAGCCTCCCTGGTAAGGTTTACTCCAAGGTACTGGAGAGGAGGTTACGGCCGATGGTCGAATCTCGGATTCAGGAGGAGCAGTGTGGTTTTCGTCCCGGCCGTGGAACACTGGACCAGCTCTATACTCTCATCGGATACTCGAGGGTTCATGGGAGTTCGCCCAACCTGTCCACATGTGCTTTGTGGATTTGGAGAAGGCGTTCAACCGTGTTCCCCGGGGTGTCCTTTGGGGGGTCCTCTGTGAGTACAGGGTCCGGGGTCCTCTGCTGAGGGCCATCTGATCCCTGTATGACCGGAGCCAGAGCTGCGTGCGCATTGCCGGTGTTCTGCCGAAAAGTGACGCTCTGCCAAAAAGTGACGCTTATGTAATGCTCAGCTGTTAATGATGTAATGCAAACCTGCGCGCATGCGCGTCTCACGGCAGCCGAAACAAACCAAGATGGCGGACAGAAAGTCTGAGAATTGCTTTAAAAGTTATAATACGAACGAAATAAGACACGAATGTCACTTTTAATGCAATTTGAGGCGAGATGTTGATGGTTCCGTGTTGGCACATGTGGGTTTTAAGAGTCAAACTTTCGGGTAAAGTTTAGTTTAAGCAGTCAACTCTGCCTGTGAAACCACAAAGCTAATGTTATGATAGCATTCCTCGGCTGCGGACGCAGGCTGATGACGCGTCCTGTGGCAACTCTACAGTTTACTATGTTGATATGGGATTATTAACGATTGTATTGTAATGTATCCATACCGAATAACAAGATTACACATGTTACATTCGATTAATTTTATATTTTTTATGTAGCTACAGAAACACCATCACATTACATATGAACAGAGGACAGTTTAATTATAAATACACATTTCCAACACTACTAATCCCAATAATTTGTGTAGTATACAACCACATGTCACAAGATTGATAGAGGTATATCTTTCTGTCACACTGTTGTGTTCTGAAATGTTGTTACCTCTGACTTTCCAATATTTTGATTTTAGAACCCTAGTTTGAATAGTAATTAAAAATAAATGCATAGATAACTAGGGACTTTGCACCATAGCCTCAGATGTAGAGCAAAACAAAAATTATGATTCTGAAAAGCACAAGGTAAAACAAAGACCAGAAACCACTGTTGCAACATGGTACATTTTATAAAAATACAATTACTCTGACATGTGTGGCCAACACTTTTTTCTATTGATTACATTTATTACATGCTACCAAAGGCGCTTTTTTGTTGGTGCAATCAAAATGTGTGAAGTCTCCGCACATACAACACTGCACCTATCCAAAATAAGTAAACTTTAGTCATTCCAGAAACACATGCTGTAGGGTTATAAGAGGAAAATACCTTTTCATCTCCACGTAAGTGGAAACAACACACACCACAGCAGTCATCTTCACCTACAAATAAACACAATGTTTCAGTCTCAGTTTTGTTGATTAACCCAGGTATAACATTTCAAAAGTAAGGACGATAATAACCTCCTCGCTGAAGCAGCGTACATGCCACTTCCAGACACGCTGCAGCAATAAAGTTGTAGTTTGTGCACACAGCATCCAAATGGCCCTGGAGGAACCATGCCTCGGCAAACTATATATACAGCTAATAGGACATGTCACTATGCCTTCAAAGAAGAATAAATAATTACAGAATCACATTTAAAATAAAAATGCCACAACTAGAGGTGTCAATTTGTAGCTGGTGCTTGAGCACACTCCCAGTCCATTGACCACTGCCTCTATTCGCCTGCCTCAGAAACTTCCTAAAGTGAGATGAACAGTTACAAAACAAGTCTCATGATAACTTTTCAGATCGGACAAACCTCCAGTTTTTGAGGATGTTTGTTTTGTAAAGGCCTCGTTTCCCATGGGGTCAATGAGCAATACTGATTTATCCTCCATGAGGACGACCACTAACACCCAGTGGCCTCCAGTCTTTATGGGGCAGATCCAGTGAGCCTCTTCTGGAAATTTCATCTATAAAAAAGTGGAACCAAAAAGTGTTATTGTGTTTGTAACCATATGGGTATGCAAGGAATATTTGGCCCACGGAAATTGGAACTTCCTTTGTAAGTGGTTTCATTTGGCCACGCACAGAGGCTTGTGCCCACAACAGCAGAGAGCTGGGGAACAGGTTTCTGCTGAAACAAGCCAATGTAAAGGACACATGTCACCTCTACTTTGTTCACCAGCACACGCAGATCGGAATCAATGACCTGCATTAGAGAAAAACATAATAATACCCATCAGGTCAGAACTTTGTACAATTACAACCTTGCTCCTCAATGCTGGCTTTTTTTACACATGCGTCATGTGACTGCTGGAGGATGATTATTTAAACAAACTGTTTTATGCAGAAAAACATTTATGGGAACTGAGTGTTAAGATTTAGTAAAGACATGAACATCTGACAATTTAAAAATGTACTTTTTAAATGATAATATGTTTGTGTCTTTCTACTGGCCTTGTTTTGACTGAATCACTGAGCCTTGTTGGACACTTTCTTGCCTCTTTATGTTGTGGTTGGTCTTTTTGTCCAATCCATCAGTCTGTGGGTGGTACGCAGCGGTGACGCTTCTCTCAATGCCCAGCAGAGAACACATAGTAACATTGAGCTGAAACAATGAAAATAAAATGAATAAGAACGTATGAACAAGAAGTACACAAACAATATTTACTTCATTTACAAATTCCCGCCCTTGATCAGACAGGATACATTTTGGGCACCCCTGTATATTATAAAGCAAAGTCTTTGCCCAACCTCCACAGCCGTCTTAGTTTTTAAATGGGAAAGCCTCTACCTACTTTGAAAAATAATCCGTGGCTGTAAATATGTACTGATAGCCATCAGTAGTTTTGGGGAAGGGCCCCAACAGCTCCCAAACAGCAGACACCTAACAAGCAAACAGGATTTGAATGCATTAATGTACACTGCTGGTTGGATAGGAACAATAAATACAATTACTTTTATTGTTTGGAGTGGTGCAACTGAACCCAGAGACTTTCCCTCACGTTGACATTGGTCACACTCATAAATCTTAAAAAGAACAGACAGGGAAGGGAATTGTACAGACAAATAAAAGGAAAAAACATACCATATTGTCAATCATCAGTCCTGCCACGCCAGTAAAACCTGGAACAAATGGCAGGTTTTTTTCACGCCAGTGTGGCCTCCCGTGGGTGTAGCATGACACTTTTTAAAATAGTTTCTGTGCCTCGTGTCTTGTTTTAATGGCTCTTCTTTTGTCATGGAACAGCTCACCACAACTGAATTATAATAAAACAACAGAACAACAATAAGACATGTATAACCATAATAGCAAATGCATTATTACCCTTTGCAGTAAATTTATGGGAGTACTTCCTCAAGTTCTGTCTGTCTGAAATGTATTCATTCCCTCAGGATAAATCTTCTCTGTGAGGAGAAGAAACATTTCATCCCATTTATCCTCCATTATGATTATGAAAGACAAAATCTTGGTCAGGTGGACAGGCAAGGGTCAAAAAACAGTATCAATCAAAAGCAGATGTGAAAACGGGGAAGTGGATAATAATTAAAAGCTGATCAAACATCCACACAAAAATATCTAATTTAAAAAAGATGGAAATCTTTGACTTTGTATTAATATTGACTTCCTTTCACCATTAGATATCAAGAGATAAGATACTATGGAAGAGGATTAGTGATGAGGCTACATCCATGTGAAACAACACACATAAATGAAACGTAATTTATCTTTTTTACTAGTGTGAGATTTCATAACACTTTTAAGTAACTGTTGTTAAAGTTAAACTCATCATTCTATCAATGTGCAGAAGCCTGTACTTTTCCACTACTTGTTTTGACTATCTCTGCTGTCTCTACCATCGACAATAAAACATGTCTTCTGTCTGAATGAAAGACGCGATCCCAGACTTTATCATCTTCTTCACGAGTACATAATGTTACCATCTCTCCACGAGCAAATATTAGAAAATCAATACATTTCGGGAGGGATTATGACCGCGTATTCATTCATACGTTACGCGTGTACGTAAAATGTATCCCCATAATGTAATTTCGAACCCAGGAGTATGGTACAAAGTTGAAAAAGTAATATAATATTCTGTATAGGATTTGGTAGAGTCAGTGAGGTCAGTGAAGTCAACGCGCTCGGTTGCAAACTTTATAATACGTTATACTAATACAAATATATGCCCTTTGTAACGGAGAGCCATACTCACGTGACTTTTCAGCTTCGGTGAAGAGAAAACAAAGCTGTAGAGTTGCTACACGGAACCATCAACATCTCGCCTCAAATTGCATTAAAAGTGACATTCGTGTCTTATTTCGTTCGTATTATAACTTTTAAAGCAATTCTCCGACTTTCTGTCCGCCATCTTGGTTTGTTTCGGCTGCCGTGAGACGCGCATGCGCGCAGGTTTGCATTACATCATTAACAGCTGAGCATTACATAAGCGTCACTTTTTGGCAGAGCGTCACTTTTCGGCAGAACACCGGCAGTAAGTCAGACCTGTTCCCGGTGAATGTTGGCCTCCGCCAGGGCTGCCCTTTGTCACCGGTTCTGTTCACTGTATTCATGAACAGAATTTCTAGGCGCAGCCAAGGGTCGGAGGGGGTCCGGTTCGGGGGTCACAGGATCACAGGACATCGGGGCAAAATTAAAAGATATATCAGCGAACCTCGAAGCACTGGGGATTCATCACACTCAGAAACAAAAAAAATATATTTTTCCATTCACTCCACACACAGTGATGATGGAAGCGAGACGCCCCCAACCAACACCATCCATTTACTCACTTGTTACATTCTAACCTATGTTTATAGGGGTAGGGGAAACTGGAGCACCTGGAGGAAACCCACGCAGACACAGGGGAAACAGGCATATACCGACTGGGATTCAAACCCAGGATATTCTTGCTGACAAGCAAGTGTCCATGACCTCTCAGCCATCGTGTCACCCATATGAATAATTCCACTTGGCTATTTCTCATTAAACAAAAAAACAATCACATCTTAACAGTTAGGATTTACGTACTATAAATAACTTGCATAGCCAAGTTATGGGTCAGTTTGTGTGGAAAGGCCATCCTCTTTTCCTGAATACGTAATGCAGTAAAGAACATCTGTCACAGAGTATTTGCTGGTTAGAGACATTTATGCTTTTCTGCATTCTGTGTAAAGTCAAAGCATCTGTTCTGAGAAGACAGAACATAGAGACATAACTCCACGATAGAGTTTGCAGATTATTGGACCATGACTGACATTGACTTTGAACCAACGCCACTCAAAGTGCTTCACAGAAAGAGATTGTATAAGTATAAGTATAAGTACATTATACACAAAATAGAGAGAAGAAATACAGGCGGACAGAATGTAAAAACCATCCATCCATTTTTTTCTTTTTTGGGCGGCACAGTGGCTGAATGGATAGCATTCTCGTTTCTCAGTAAGAAGGTCCTGGGTACAAATCCCGGTCAGAAAAGGGCTTGTCTGAGTGGAGTTTGCATGTTCTCCCCACGTCTGCTCCGGTTTCCTCCAGGTGCTCCGGTTTCCCCTAACACTAAAAACATGCACAATAGATATGAATGTAAATGAGAACATGAATGGATGGTGTTGATTGGGGGCTGATGCGCCAGTGTCTTTGGCGTCTTGCTTCCATCATCACCCGGTATGGAGTGATTGCAACAATATCTGAACTCTGAACATTGTAAAGCGCTTTGGGTGACCTTGGTCCGTAAAATGCGTTATATAAATAATATAAATGACATTACATTGTCCATTACTGGGTCGGGGTGGTGGAAATCAGATAACACCCAATTCACAAGCACCAGCCCCTGCATATATATATTTAAAAAAATATGTGTATAACCATATAAAAACAATTCGGCCACAATTCTTTGGCTAAATAACAGACTGAAATAAAGGCATCCATGTTTGCTTTTAATTTCACATCTCCAGAGAATGCTTGCCACCAGAAATATGACTCAGTGACCCACCATTTCTTGCATAATCAGCTTGTAGTCTGAATGAACTGGAGTGAACTGTTCGTGTAATAGGCCAGCCCTGAGGTCGGCATTGGGTTCCTATAGTGGGAGTATGTTAACATGCAGACCACGTGCCTTCTCGTCTGTTTCAGAGCCTACCAGAATCACCGTGAGGCCCACCAACACAGAGATCATCGTTGGCGAGAGCATCGTGTTGCCTTGCCAAATCGCCTGTGATCCTGCCCTGGATGTCTCCTTCTCCTGGGCATTCAACGGACAGCTCATCAACTTCAAACAAGACAGTGACCATTTTGAGCGAGTTGGCGGGGTGAGTCATCTCCAAGCATTTTGTTGCGCAACTTCGGTCGCTATTCTGGGTTTAATTGGGAAGCGCGATGTAAAGTGGGTGGGGGCGCTCAAAAGCTTGAAGGAAAAATGTAGTAGTTTGCAAGGCTATGCAATTTTTCAAAGCAGCTAAAAAGGAAAAGCCCAAGTTTAAATGCAAAGTTGAGACATTCTGATACAGATTTAATATGAGAGATTACAAAGTTGAGAGTTTACAATAATAACCTAGCTTTAGTCACCAATGAAAGGTTTAAAGATCATTACTCCTTCCAACTTTGATTTAGTCATTCAAGCAGAACATTTACATTCATAAGTGTTCACAATATTTACATTCCTTAGTTTACAAAGACCTTTTGTACATGTTGCTTTGTGCTTACAGTCTTAACTTACACATGCAAATATATAAACATAAATATACAATCAAGTAATAATAATTTTCCTAGTTTCACTATGTGTTGTAAATTCACAATTTCATTATTTATCTGCAAATGCATTTCTATTCACAATTTGTCTTCACAACTTTAACACGTTACAGGAAGTCAGAGATTTTTACGATGCCCTGAATACCAACTAAATGCAAAGCAGATCAATGCGCAAACAAGTTTTATTTTCTTCCCCTTTATCCGTTGTTGTGTCAAATCCTGAGGCGTTCTCAGGCTGGCTCAGACAGTCATAGTTTCATCGTTGTTTCAGTGTGTCCTGGGTCTTCCCCTGGAGCCTCCTCCCGGAACAACTCCCCAGAGTGGTGTCCAGGAGGCATCCAAAACATATGCTCGAGGCACCTCAATTTAAAAAGTTATTAGTGGCCTGAAAGTGGAAATGACTAATGACATTGAAATGTGAATATAATGAGCTAGAGATTCAGCCTCTTACTGCTGCCCATAGAGCAGCCATTCCCAAACTCAGTAACACCGAGGCCCCCTTAAAAATCTGATGGGTCTGCGTGGCCCCCCAAAATAATAACCAAGAAGACAACATTAAGAATAGGCTCTTCTGGTTATTTTATTTTGGGGAAATAGCCTCTGCTACAAACATTGTAATACAAAAATGATTACAGTGGATTATTCAAGTCAAATAATGAACACAAATATTTTAATATTACAAACAAAACATTATAAATTTAACATTAAATAATTATATTATTATGATTTTTTTTTTATGACCTCCCGCGGCCCCCCTGCAGTACCCTCGCGGCCCACCAGGAGGCCGCGGACCCCACTTTGGGAGACACTGCCATAGAGGATAGCCAGCCTCTTCTCAACAGTTTCTAATGAATTGATTAACATAATTAAAGCAGAACCACCTCATCTCGCTCCCGTGAGCTAGGACAGGTTGGCATCTGGGAAATGGTGTGTGCTCGGACGGACCAGGTGGTTGGCTGCTAGTGTGACAGTGGCCAAGTTGTATGCAAAAACACTAAAAGAGACATGAATCGAGGAGCAGGGAGCGCCTGTAGCTGTAAGGCTTTTGTTAAGTCCAGGTCTCAGGTGCTTGGGATACGTCCACCGGCAGACTGCAGCCGGATGAGGCTGTGATCACTGCTGATGAGATCTGTTCTGACTGCGGCTGTTCTGGACCACTCTTTAGAACGAAAGGCTATTCTTCACACTATTTCTATTCTTCTTACTAGTTCAATTCTCCATGCTATTCTTCAAAACAACAAGTTTAATTATTGTGCTTGAAAATACCATTTTGTTATTTGTGGCAAGGGTAGGTTCATTGTGATATTGTTTATAGTTTTTGAAACCCAGAATTTCTTCCAGAGATGACAAACTTTCATTTGCTCACATCCCTTATGTATGTATAATGAAAAACTTAAAGCTTGGGGACCTAACTTTCAAACCACAAACAAATCCATGTAACTTTATACCTCGGTCTCAAAACAGCTTGGTTTTTACATACAGTATTTTGTGGTCTTTAGTGTGAAAATGAGAAGACCAATGTTGCTCAGCCAATCTGCTTTCAGCCTAAAAATTCTAAAAGTGACTGAAAAAGTGTCTGACATGCATACAAAAGAAGTTTTCTATTACGATGAAGACAGCATGTTGTGATTACTTCCCAAGACTCATTCTGGTGGGACAATGGACATGTATTATCAAGTGCACTGACTTTCTCAACACGTCCTTCAAATTAAATAACAATTGGCACATCAATATTTTATTTCAAAGTATAAAACATTCACTTTTCTTTCAAGATGGATTATAAAGCAATCTTATGTTCTCTGCAAAAATGTTCCTTTCCTTTGCCTAATTGGATCTTGTTAGTGCTCGGATCCCATCTGCCATCACTCTCGCACGGATGATGAATATGATCCACTTTAAGATCCTGAGTGTATTTCATGTCACAATTTTCTGCTGTGGTGCGGTTTCCACTCTGTAAGTAAGGAGATGAGATTACCTTTTTTGTTGCAGGGGAGAACAAAACGAACATGATCAAAATGTATCCAATCGATATAGTGGTGATTATATTTTCGGATGGAATAACTTTTTTTTCCTCTGGTGTTGAAGTTTTTCTTTGGCTTTTTCCCACATAAAAGCAAAAATGCATATGAAAGAAAGAGAAAAACGTACTAAGGATAAACCTGCCCAAAACACCCATTAGCAAAGTAAGAATTCTATCTGGAGAGACTCGAACAGGCAAAACATGGGTATTGGAATTGTATATTGGTTGGCAAGTAATCTGACACTACATAAATTACACATAGGACTCTAGGGACAATATTTTCAAGACTACATGTATTGCGCTGTTCAGAAATGTGGTAGGATTTGGCCTTAGACCCCGGCAGAGCACTGCACGATTGCAGAAGGGGAAAGAGATTATGACATGACTTTCCCGGGGCCTCGATCCTGGTGGTGTTAGCTGGAGATGGATGAAAGAGCTGGCCAAGAGCAAGGCGGAAATGGGGAGGAGGAGGGTTGCAGCTTGAATGAAGCGGCTGCTTGGATGGAGCTTCCTTGCGATATGAAGCATGATGCAGGGCAAGTGCTTGATTGCTGCAGGTGAAGATTAGCGTGTGGCGCTGCAGCTGACTGTAATTGACTGATTGCTGTTGCTGTGGGCAACAGCTGAGTTCTACAGTCTTCCAGTCTGAATATTCTTTTTAGCTTCATATCCACCACATCAGCTTTGGGCCTGAACCTCTCCGGGCAGAAAAGAGTTCGATTGGAATGGTTGACCAAAATCACTCTTCCTGAAGCTAGAAGTTCAAATTGTGCATTGGATGTGAAAAATCCTGTTTGAAGCATACAACCACCTTCTCCATAAACTTAATTGAGACAAGCTCTTTACCTCCACAAGTCCTTGAGATTTTGAGAATATGGATTGTGAATTTGGATTGTGTATAGGGCTAGACTTCACACCCAGCTTGCCAACAAAAACTTATATACGTCTTCATGTGATAATGAAAATGATTCCTGCCATTTTAATTGTGCAATTTACACCTTGGCGAAGTACGTTTTATGATTTGCGCTTTCAGCTTTACCTCCATTATTCACTGCTCCTGCTTTAGGTGTAAATCCCCACATGAGAACACTTCTGATTCTGAGAAAGAAAACTGAGAATGTCGCTGGTATTCAAGCCTCACTCTTAAGACAGCGTATAAGTATGTACCACAATTTGAATGTTTTTAATCCAAGTGGGGTGTTATGTCTGGGACAGTGTGTGCAATAACATTTTGTCTCAAGGACAAAAGTTTGTGGTTCATAGCAGTCATGTAGAATTATTTTTTTGTGTTAAGTAATTCTTAAATACTTCATCCTTTAGGGAGCAAGCTCACCATCACTGAATATGCGTGTGTTTCTAATCTTTTCTTAGGTAAAGTGTGGAGGATTACCGTTAAAATTCAACATAAACATCCCTTTATCCCACTAAAATAAACATCTTTAAGCAGATTAGTACAAAGCCAGTGTTTGCGGTTGTGCTGCTGGCGTCCGCCTCCTGCTCATTCCGCTTAAGGAAAATTATATTTGCACTTTTCACCCTCAGTCCTGCTCCTGTCATGCCGGAGCTTATGTTATTACTGAATAATTATGCGGGCAGTGCCAATTAGAGGCAGACTGTTTGTGTTGTGTCGGGCTGGTGGCTGTTCTGTTGGTGGCGGGTGCTGTCTCGCCGGAGGGAAAGCCAACTGCAGTATCTGTGGAAGTACATCTGCCACGTCTGCTGCTGTCTTCGAGAAGAGGAGCCGATCAGTGGCCTGGAGATGCTGCCATTGTGCCGAATACAGAGGACAGAGACGACACTGCTGCACTGGTGGAAGCCTGCTAAATGATTTGTACGTCTTGTTGTGAGGATGATATGCAGGAAAAGGCTATTGTGTAGTGGTTTTCTCTCAGCAGATTTTGTAAACAGAATTAAGAGCTCAGAGCTTTTGAATTTGACTTACTGTACATTGCATTGTGATTTTGATTACATTTACAAATTACGTTTCAATAGATTAATAGTAGTTATCCTCAAAGGGGCATTATATACATGTCCAGAAAGATAGACAATTTCCCACATACGATCTTATAAAGGTTGTTTATTCCTACTTGTAAGTACTTTTTATAAATGCTCCACGTAGCCACATTCTTTGAGTTGTTCCATGTCTATGCAGGAGTGTCATTTATTTATCGATGGACATTTATGTACATTTATTAACATTCCTTATGGACCAATGACTCCTATGTGTTTGTCTTTAATGCATTCCTTCTGTTTGAACTTTGATTGTACTGTGGGAAATGTTTGATTCTCTGATCTATTGTCAGCAAATCAACAATATTTTAGAGACGACTGCTGTTGAGATTTAGGGCTGTAAAAAAACATAAATGAAACAAATCTGGACAGCTGCTCTCCACATCCTTTGGAACCAATATCATTTGCAACATTAAGTTACACTGATTCAATGTAACCCTATTTTGTGACTTTATGATATAAGTGTATTGAGCGACTGGATGACCTGTGATCTTAAGAAGCTGCTTTTGTGCAAAGTAACGGATGCATTCACTTCACTGCAGCAGTGAGAGATATAAAGAAGAGCAGGTTGACTCACTGCGGCCTGATCTCCTTTCAGACCATATCTGGAGACCTGATGATTCGGAACATCCAGTTAAACCACGGGGGGAAGTACGTCTGCCTCATTGACACAGATGTCGACAGCCTATCCACCTCTGCCATCCTGGTTGTCAAAGGTAGGAGCAGTGTTTGAGTTCATGCGCATGTGCCGTGTCGGCTTTATGAATAAAACAGAAAGGTGTCAGTTCCAAACTCTCCCGGCGAAGTTAGTCAGATTTACCAAGATCCCTGCTCTCGGCTTCCTGCAGGGAAAGTGGCGTGAAGCTCTTTCTCTGTGCCATCAACGGTAGTTCCCTCAGCTCATGTTTACATAAGCTAACATTGTAAATATGAAATGCTCTTGATGTTCCGTTTGATAAAAATACATTATGAATGTTAAGCATTTACGTGTGTATTCAACAGTGTGGTTTAGAACCATGTCATGTACAGTTGATCAAATTGGTATTCATGCCCTTAACAAAATGTACTCGCTGTCCCAGGTGCTACACCAAGATGATGTTTTACACAGAAAATGGCTATAATTGGCTCATTTACACAGGGACAAAATAACATGGAAAACATTTGAATAATGGTGCAGCAGAGCAGACAATAGCACCAGCACAGCAGAGCCTCATTTCTTATTATTGAAATAAGTTCTTCTCTTTTTGTGGAAATGATCCTTACTCACTTATGAAGAGAGAAGAAACACATATTCACATAGCATGGACAATGCTATAAAGAAATAGAATAGATTGTTTTACGTCTGAGTTCTATAGAAAAATATTGTGCTGCCTTTAGGTCCTCCTGGTCCGCCTGATAAAGTATCAGTGGAGGAGATCACGGACAGCACAGCCCAGCTGTCTTGGACTGCAGGCAGGGACAACGGAAGCCCCATTACTGGCTACTCCATCCAGGCTCGCACTCCCTTCACTGTGGGGTGGCAGGCTGTTGATTCAGGTATCACCACAAGTCACCTTTCAGTTGATTAAATATACCATGGTCAAGGAGCATCTACTGCAGTTTACCACTGCTTAAACTACAGGTTCCAAATCACTTCACCTATGTGGTCACCATGTTACTCTTGAGCACAAGCAGTTCACTTCAAGTTTTGTTTCTATAGTATTTTTTAAAAGGACTGTAATACATCAGCATCTTGATTTAGTTCCTAACATGTTAAATAGTTGCTGTTTTGTCAAATTCCACAGTCAAACGTAGGAAAACTTAGTCTTTTCTCTTCTGTGTCTCGTGTTGCTCTTGGCTTTCTTCCAACATGTGTTTGGGTGTAGAGGACAAAATATATTTTTTCTAATATGTTGAGTGTGTGAGTGTTTTGACCATGGTATAAGTGGATGAAACAACTCAGAGCAGTGCGGTTGTGTGGTCACGCCAATTGCACGGCTCCTTGTTGTGTAATGCTTACTTAAATAAGAGGAGTGATTTGTTTACTGTTGGAACTACTTCTAACATATACTGTAATAATAACATTGATGGTCGTCATAGTTACCTTGATAAGATTAGTTTTGTCATGTGAATAATGATTTTTTTCACCGGCCCTGTGTGACTCACTGAGCTGTTCCTTTCCTAGTGCCAGAGATAATCAATGGCAACATGCAGACAGCCACAGTGGTGGACCTGAACGCCTGGGTGGAGTATGAGTTTCGGATAGTGGCCCGTAACGCTGTTGGACTGGGAGAGCCCAGCCCCCCCTCAGCCCAAACCAGGACAGAGGACGCAAGTATGTTGTTACACTAATTGATGTTTTTGTTTTAATTTGTTTTTTTTATGCACTTATCGGTCTAAAATTTACCGACTGTGGTTATGTTGTAGAATTATATTTTGGGCCGGTGCCATTGCAACTTATTTGATGTCAACAACTTTTGAAAGAAATGTTGAATAGAAAAAGTCCAGATCTTTCCCCAGGTCATTCGATTTACAAATCTTCTCATGTCTGTGGTTTGGGGTGTGTTTTGGAATATTGTCACCACTTCTTGATGGTTAGAACAAAAAGCCTATATTTGGGGTGGCCACAGATTTAAAAAGACTCCCTGCTGAGCTGACATGCGTTGGTGTTATGTTTTACTCTGTAGCCATTTCGGATACAGGCTTTTTAGTTTTGTTTGAACCCTTTTGTTCATGAGTATCTTTGACCGGTTTTGATTACAGCAGCTCTCCGTCTCCACATTTTTACGCAATTGATATGAACTAACAAGATGTCAAACTTTGTGACATTGTGTTTTCTTGTGGATTAGCCCAGGAATTACAAAGACATTTACTCTAAACAATTACTAGCACCACAGTCACCCAGAAAAAGTTTTCATCTGCCACACCACCATTTCAAATATATGATCTTTGTAATTCCACATGAACGCAACCTCTTGATGTAGTATTGTTCATGCAAATGTTTAGGCTTATAACTTAGCTTCCACGGACTTAAATGCATTAGATCAGGGGTCTCCAACCTGTAGCTCGGGAGCCACTGGTAGCTCGCCAACCCCTTCCCGGATGCTCGCCAAAGGATTTAGAAATGAACTAAAAACATACTTAATATTTCAGATTGTGTTATTCATTGTCATTATTTATTATTGTAGATGCACTTACTTTGTGCGCTAGTTACACATTTGCAATGATAATTATCGGCCTTGTTCACACCAAAATATCACCACATTTTTCCGAGGGCTGCTTTCCAAGAGTAGCTAGTTACCTAAGCATTTGCAAAGAGTATTTATTTTTCTTTTTACCACCAACAAACCTACAGGATTTATACTTTTCTACACCAATCCAAAACCGACAAAGTACCAGCAGAGAACTAATACTGGGATCAACAAAACCTTTCTAGCCTTTCTAAAGGGCGATATGGGCTAACGTAATTGCTCCTTTTGGGCTCTGCCTCTCAGTTCCAGATACAGCTCCCACAGATGTCGGAGGTGGAGGCGGCACCAAGTCTGAATTAGTGATAACATGGGAGGTAAGTCATCTGTCACATTTTACTGCTGTTCTCGATCGCCCAGTAATGGTTTTGCTTAATTGTGCAGAATTGAGCGGAGCAATTTTACGACCCACATTAGGGCGGGATACCTCTCTTTGCCTCGGCTCAGCCACACACTGATATTTTTCAGGCCAAGTGCAGCCACAGAGAGCACTTTTTCTCACAGAGATACTCACCGCACACTGAATCACTGTAGTTGAAATGAACTTCATAGAGCAATTATCTGGAACACATCAGGAAATTTCCAATGCAAACACTTCACGTTGATAGCTCAGAGTCTCTGCAAGCAATCTGCTCCATGTAACCTTTATCACTGAATAGTATTAAGTAACAATAAGCAGTAAGAAGTTTGGTGATTTGTCAAAATGTCTCAATGATTGTTGGTCCAAACAAAGTTAAAGCTGATGGTACCATTTTTTTCTCACAAATAATCCATGTTATTTGCCCAAACAGAAAGAGTATTGAGAAAGTAAAATGTTCAAGATTCATGAAATTCAAGACTTGTTTTGCCATTTGCAGTAAAACCACACTGGAAAAACTACCCAAGAATATCCCAGCATGCACTATACACTCCAGCGCTCCTGCCACAGCTAAATTTTTCCGGCGCAGTGCAAATTTTTAATCTTAGTTAATATTAGAAAACAGCACTCATCTGCAAATCTTAGACTCAGGGCTGAGAGCTGATCAGTCTGAAAAAGCTGATTTAAAGATGTAAAACCAACCAAAACCAACAATGGATGCACAGACTAGTGAAATGATTTTATTTAGTAGTTATTTGTGGATTGAACTTGGTGTACACTGAGGTAGTCTTGTACAGTTTTTCCAATGTGGTTTTACTGCAAATGGAAAATACATTCTTGGATCTTGAAACATGTTACCCCAGGTAGGTGGCCTAACACTGCCAGTCTGACAACTGCATATGTCCGTATGTCTGTATCAGAATAAAAACTAACACGTTTAGATCTGAAACAACCACCAACTGAGCTTAGAATCAAGGACGGAACCTGAGTCTTGATGATTTTATAAGTTGCAGTAACTTAAGTAGAAGTGTGTCAAGTAACTGATTAAGAATTAAGTAAAACATCTCTGACTTACGCATAACAAAGAAGTAAGTGTAAAGTACTGTATATTCTACAGCAGAAATATATAGTTGTATGTATACATCTGTACATGTTAGCAGCATGAGGGTCTGGGACACAGTGGCAATGGACATAGACACATAAAGTATACAGCACCACATACTGTATCCGTCAACCCACCAACGCAATACAGCAGTACCGACATGTAACTGTTTCGGATTCACTGCAAGAATGATCATTTGAAATATGTGAGACCTCTGCTCAGACGGGCCTGTTTGTTTCTTCGTCTGTATGTCTTTTAATATCACTATAGTTGTGTGTTTCGCTCCCAGCCCGTCTCAGAGGAGCTGCAGAATGGAGAAGGCTTTGGCTACATTGTTGCCTTCAGACAGACTGGCACAGCGATCTGGACGCGAGCACTTCAATCAGCCCCTGGAATCTCACGCTACACCTTCCGCAACGACACCCTCCCCGCCTTCGCTCCGTTTGATGTCAAAGTGGCGGCTTACAACAACCGCGGGGAGGGCCCATTCAGCTCCATTGTAACCATATACTCAGCAGAAGACGGTATATGGACCATTTTTAGATTGCTCTTCACCAGGGGTTTTCAACTCAGTCCTGTGTGATCTTGCGTGACTGCAGGTTTTCATCCCAACCAAGCAGAACCACAGCGTAGTCCACCCATTTCATCGATTGAGTCATGATGAAGTGATGAAACTGATGAAGTCCGGTGTGCTTGGTTGTGCTTGCTTAGAATGAAAACCTTCAACCACAGGATCGAGTTGTAATTTCCGTTGCTTGTTTGGGTTGGATAGACATTAGGGGTGGGAACCTAAGGGTACCTCACGATAAGATACGATACACGATACAAAGCTCACGATAACGATATTATCACAATAACGATATCACGATAACGATTTTATCACAATATGACGATTATTGATATATTGGTCAGAAATATACAATATGCCAATTTATGGCATAAATAAAATAAAAAATACACTTTATTTCATGATAAATGGAATGGAGATGCACAATGTAGCCATATATTAAGTATTGATACCAATTTAAAAAAAAATAATAATAATAATCTTTTTTTTTTTTTTTTTTTTCACAATTAATAGATACTTGGCAAATGCATATCGATAATCGAATCGTGGGAGAAAGTATTGCGTCACACCCCTAATAGACATCACAGATTTGGTATGATTGTAATTATGGGAAATACTGTATGTAACAATAAATAAATAGTATACAGTATGTTTAGAGCTGTATAAAACTATTTTTAATAGGCTGTGAAAAGAAGTGACTAAAACCCATTTTCATTGTAATCTTTCAATTTAAAGGAGCAAAATGGCTAAGGCTGACTCAGGTTGCCAGATATGCAGACAAATCTAGCTGGAATTTGTCTTTTTATAGTTCTCTATTGAACTAGTATTGTGGGCGGCACGGTGGCTGAGTGGATAGCACTCTCGCCTCTCAGCAAGGTCCTGGGTTCGAATCCTGGTCGGACCAGGGCCTTTCTGAGTGGAGTTTGCATGTTCTCCCCGTGTCTGCGTAGGTTTCCTCCGGGTACTCCGGTTTCCCCTACCACTAAAAATATGTCCAATAGTTCTAGCATGCGCCTCCTGTGCTGGCGAGCCCGCTCCCATCTCTGTGTGGAGTGAGAGGACAAGTGCCCATAATTAACAATTGTAAACCGCTTTGAGACTCAGATCTGCAGTGAAAAGGCGGTATATAAATAAAGATTACTTACTTACTTACTACTACTTACTACTGCAATATTGTAAACAATTACTTCAGAAAGTGAAACTCATATATTACATAGATTAATCGCACATGTATTTGAAAAAAAATAACATAAAAATAACATTAATCAAACAATAAAATCTCCAGGAAAAAACCTTGTGAGTTCAAAAGTACTTGATATAAGTTCAATGTAGATACAATCTGAGTTCTCTAATCTCACTCCTTACCATTTTGACCTTGAATAACTGCAGTGAAATGTAAAGTCTTCCGCTCTCAAGCTGAGAATGTCAACCGAATATTAGTTATCATGCCGCTAGATTACTGGAAATCCTAGTACACACTCACCACACACCGCTGTCAGGGAGGTATCCGCTTAATTGAATTTGCCGGGCAGATAGTCTTCCCCTATGTCACTCACTGATTCCATTAAAGCAAGAACTGGGGGAAATGGCTTTGCAGAGAAACGAGTGTATTTTGTGCTGTACTTTTTATTCCTATTAGTACGTGGGATTTTTCATTGCTGCTCTATTTCCATTTCCGTAGTCCCCAGTGTGGCTCCTAAGAGGGTCGTGGCTCGGAGTGTGTCTGCCGTACAAATTGAAGTGGTCTGGGAAGCTTTGCGTGCCATCCCCGAAAGAGTCCTAGGATATGAGGTACGGAACTCTCAAACTATTTCTCTTCCCTCTCTGGGTAATAATGTGTTTTTCCCATTGGGCTCAGCTTATAGCATTCTACTTCATTGTACAACTATGTGCCTCTTAATACTTTTTAAAGATGATTATACTTTGCATCCAAGTTCATGTCACGAAACATTTTCTTCTAACTTTAGAGTCCAATTCCCCATGGAGAGCATCTAGGTCACCATTATTGGTCTTCATCAAACGAGCTTCTCTGCTGAGAATTGAAATGAGCCCTCCTCAATAATTTATGTGATTGCTAATTCCATTACCTTAACTGGTATCTTGTTTTATAATTCCATAGAGGGCGGCTTATTGTGTCTGAAAAGGCCATAAAATTGCAAACAAGTGCTTCAGATTCAATGTGGAGGTATTATCGGCCATTGGAGTTTTACGACTCTCTAATATGAAATGCACAATATGTCATTTATGCTGTTTGTTGCATGATTTTGTAATTATTTATGATAAAGCTAGCGCTGTTCCTCTTGCGAGATTTTATCACGTAACAGACGGATCAAACCAGATTCTACCTGTAACCAGTGGGGAGAGGACTTTGTGGTAAATTAATATTCAAATTCTGTTCATGGTGAGGTGAAAGTCGATAGTGGCTCAGTTGGTAGAGCATTCGCCTTTGATCCTGAAGGTTGTGGGTTCGAGTCCCCCATAAGACCTACTTCACGACTCCCACTGATGACTGCTGTCGTTGTGTCCTTGGGCAAGACACTTAACCCCACTTTGCCTGAAACCCCCACTGAAAGATCAAGGCTCCTGTGGACTCACCACCTGCAGGAGGATCAGTGAGGGGCTGGTGCTAAGTGTACTGGGTGCAGCTCTGACTGCCATCCCCAGACCCAGAAAGGGATTAATGGAAGGGATTAATGCAATAAAATGGATGGGTGGATGGATCCTGTTCATGGTGAGGTGAAAGTCTCCTTGCATGCTGGTCTCATAAATTTAAATTTAAATTTAAATCCTAAATCACAACAGCTGTCGGCTCAGAGGATTGCTGATTCCTCACCAATAGATCAGAGAATGAAACAGTTATAATTAATCTCCATAAATGTCCCAGCTCACCATTGTATCAGTAACAAACGACAAAAAACAGGGAGGTATCTGCTCCCAAAGACGGACAGGCTGTAGATCCTGGAATCAGGTTGTAAAATGTGAACAATTTTAGAATGAAAAAGTCTGCAAAGCTATTGAGCTCCAAGTGTTTTTTTACATTTCACAAAGACCTAACGTCACCATTCCGACAAATCCTGTTCATTATAATGTCTGTAAGCTCTAACCAGTGCTAGCATTAAAAAATTATCTCTCTCTTAAAAATTAAATTAAATCAAATTCCACTGTTGATCACTTATCGCTAATTGTATAATATTGGTCACACATAGCTTTTGGAAGGGCTATAATATACAGTATCACTATTGTGCATTGCTTCTAAATACCATTGTCACCACAGCTCTAGTTCAAGTATGGTTTCACAATAGCTGGAACATTACTAGTGACCTCCACCGCGGCTAATGCAGCAGATTAATCCTTTATGGAGCGCTTTTCTGAATTGTCCCATGGTGCTCTTTCAGCGCCTGTCACCTCTGGCCTGCACTCACAGCTCACTGTTGCCATAGTGCGGGACACATTGTCCTTCTTTACAGCAGGGCTTGCTTTTTCTCAAGTGGATTTGAGCTCTCACTCTCAATAGGCCACCAGCATTACAGATCCACAGCTTTGATTATTACCATTCAAAGCAAGACTGCATTTTCACATCAGTGTCTGAATATTATAATTTGGAATGTCAAACACTCAAACACTTATATTGATAGAACATACTGTTGGTGTCGGAATGTTTTGGTGAGAGGGCCACTTCAGTTCAGCAGACTTGTCCACGGGCTGGCAACCCAGATTGTATAACTGTTCTGGCCGTTCTGAGCTTTAAAAAGGTATTATATGTCCACGTTGATTCACATTTGAGAGAACTGAATTTTACTTGTCTCAGCACAGCTACGATAGTGCTATAAAGAATTTTGTGATACAAACAAAAACAAATGTAAACAACTGGATTCTAACGAGGAATGACACGACTAAATCAGTAAAGCTGAAGTTGGCTGTATGACACTGTGAACTTCTGTTTATAATCTCAGATGACTTTGTGTTAGCAAGGCAGAGGACCATATAAAATGACAGCAGGGCACATTCGGACTTAGTTTGGAAATGCCTGCAATGTGTCAGAAGCATATACAAAGAATATCCTAAGGCAGATTTTTTAATAAATTACATATATTTTTTTCTGTCCTAATACAATTAATGAAATTGACATTCAAGATGTCCTGAATCCAGATGTAAATGTATATGTTCTAAGATTTTCTTCCACTTTCAGAAATCTTCAACAATAGAACAGTTCGTAATTTACTTAAAAGGTTGCCAAGAGACTGTGGCACCAGCGAGGGCACTGGCAAAGTGGTCCAATGGTGTCAATACTACGCTGCACAAATTATGTGTTCTGTATTTAGTCCATGCAGTACATTGAACCTAATTGTATATAATTGCTTAGGTAACGGAACATATTTATAATCTTTCACTTCATGTTTAAGTGTGTGAACCCATTCTCCCCCGTTAGCCCGTATTATAGCCTTTCATCAGTGAAGCAGTGGGTTTCCTTTGCAGTATTGCTTTTGATAAATAGCTATATGTATACTTGATATATTATCATGTATATATACTGTATAACCCTATGACATCATGAGTTTTACAGTATCCGCTGATATAGTCTAAATTTTACCATCAGGTCGTTTACTGGGAAGACGACACCAAACCGGATACTATCGGCAAAGTGCGTCTGACAGGAAACTACACCGCAACCAACCTGACAGGCCTGAGAGCAGACACGGCCTACTACGTCTCTGTGGCTGCCTTCAACACCGCGGGACCCGGCCCCCAGACCACCCCTATCAACAGCACCACCATGAAACCCGGTGAGTGTGTTCTGAAAACTGTCTACACGTACTCGAGTGTATGATAAAATGCTCGTACTTTTCACCTATGTTTTTATCTGCTAATATATATGATGTATGTAATAGGATGACATGGACAAACGAATAAGGAATTCAGCAGTAGAAACAAGAGTTCTGAAAAAACTCCGGCCAAAGTGAAGATTTCTGTTTTGGCGTTTGCGTGTGGAAGTTGAAAACATGGCGCGCAGCAGTGTGGCCGTTTAATAGATTGACATATGAAAAAAAGTGCGGTCTCCTTTATCCTCAGTAGGATAACACATACCGGGGGTACAGCTGCTGATCTGAAAGCAGCAAACAAAGACATCTTTGCTCTGTGATAGACTGTAACACTGCAGAGGGAGCAGAGAAAGCCCCGGCTCTCCCCTGCAGAATCTCACTTTTACTTATTTACTTCCCATAAGATTGTGTTTATGGAAATACTCGCCTACACGTGATCCATGGCTCAAAACTAAGGAAATATTATGAAGTTGGAATCTTTCGAAATATTTCATTTCCCTGCTTCTTTGTTTTTTTTTTGGCTTCCAATTTGGTACTGTGAGTTAATATGACATTGCCACCTCAGTCAGATAATGTGTATGTGCAAAAAGATTGACCAAAAGTACTGTATGGAAGTCAAATTTTATTGTGCATTTAAATTCTGCTTTTTGTACAGTTTTCTTCACTTTTACATGTATTTGCAAACACTGTATTATTGTGGTGGAGCTTATCCAGGTTCAGAGATTTGTATATTACGATACAATTAATTACTGCAATTAATAAGCAAACCCAATTGCAATGTGTTCATCTTTTAAAATATGTCTATTATATAATAATCTAGAAAATGGTCTAATATAGCATCCTATAGTGTCCTTCACCAGTTCTACAGCTCATCACACCTACCATTTTCACCTAATTCTTTTTAACAAATTCACTACAAATTCACTTCACTTTCTCGACCAAAAACACAATAAGTAAATCAACATTCATCGTCACACATAACGACTTCATGTGGTCTGCCTCCTCGCTTTAATATTGTAAGCCGAGCAGACCTAATTAGTCCATGTCGAAAATGTAATTACCCATTTTAGATGTGGGTGCGAGTCTGTTTTGGTCATTGCAAACAAATCAAAACTGCTTTGATCCACTGCATTCCAAAAACCCTGAAATCTAAAATGAGAGAGTGTTTTCTGTCAATCAACATACTGTTTTGGCTTTGACAGATTTGAATTGCATGTGATCGTATTGAGTTGGATGTGTATTCATGATGTTAGAGGATACTCGCTTTGGTTACATAAAAATATGAACGATTAAACCTGGATTATTAATAATTGAAGCTTGTATATCCTTTTGCTCCATGTTCTCTTCTCCCTAAAGCTCCAGACCGGCCTCCTCTGAATATCCAGTGGACGATGGTCGGCTCCACGCTGTCACTGCACTGGGATCCGGTCGTGGCTGCGGAAACAGAGTCAAAAGTAATGGGATACTTGGTGAGTTCAAGCTGGGGTACCTAATTTGTTAGTTTCATGAATAATACACTTTGCTTGTCCAAACATAAAGAGTCTTGTAATCGTAAAATATGGATATAAAATCAGACCACAACATGCTTTTTTCATCTTATTAGAAAAAATGAAATTGGTTGAGTGAGGCTGTGAGGGTGGTTCTCTCTTCAGCGCTGTATCCACCAGCCCGACTCGGCTCTAGCTACCCTGATTTAGCCATGGTTCTATACAGTGCTGTTGGAAGCCATGGTTACCAAGAACATTCCTTCGTATCCGGGTTTGTTCTGGGTAGGTTGAATGGTTACTCTGGTACTGGAACCTGACACTAAAATGTAATGGAAACACAACCACATAGAATATCAATAGAGTAAAGTAGGGCCAAGTTGGGCTGGTTGAAACCCGCCTTTTTTAAATCTATCTGTCCAAAAAAGCTGATTAAAATATGTCAAAGATGTGGCAAAGGCCAACCATACATGCATGTATAAAAAAATATTAATAGAAACCAAATGTTTTGAGGGTGAGAAACTAGAAAGATAGATTATTTTTAGATCAATGTGTTGTAGTTTGAAAGTTGGGTAATCAACTCAACTTATACTATAGGACATATATGTGTATCAAAGTCTTTAAACTCTGTGATAGTGTCTAAACTTAAATAATTCATGCTAAAGTTATGAAGCCTTATGATTATACATGAGGTATAATCATAATGTAGTTAGGATAGGTCAGTGTAAGATAAGTCATGTTGAATGTCACATATTTTCTATTTTTGTCCCTGGTATGACATTAGCAGCAGATATGACAAAGACAAAGCTACATTTATATTTAACCTTTATTCAACCAGTAAAGTCCTATTGAGATTAAGAACCTCTTTTTCAAATGAGTCCTGGACAAAAATGTAGTAACACACACTATCACTTCAGGTGCTGTTGAAAAGACATCGCTACAATGACATGACCACCATCCTGACGACCAAAACCAGCATGGAGCTCAGCCTGTCTGTGGCTGACAACTATCTGATTCAGATCAAGGCCATGAGCGAGGGCGGCGAAGGTGCGGGCAGCGAACCAATCCACATCCACAAATTAAGTGAGTTTGCTGTTCTCTCCCGCTTGCATATCACCAACCCTCGATGAATCCTAAGTGAGAATTCAATAACTCCGCAAAAGAGCATTTCATTTGCCTGGGGTGCATCCCTCTGCAGCCATGTGTAATAGACTTAGCTCAGAGGAAAGAAACCTTTTTAGAAATGCGTGCGCGGTGTCATCCATCTCTGCCATTGGGTTATTATTCCTTGTTGACTGGCTGCACAGCGCCACAGCATATAAAGCAGTTCTGTGCTCCCATCCAGCTGCCCGGCTGTGAGGCGGCTCAGTGCACACACCGCCATCTGATACAAATTTTATCTCCTCCACAAGCTTAAATGGCCCCTCCTGTTCAAGCCAGAATTAATGTAGGGGAATGTCACGAAAAAGATTTCCGGTAACTTTGGGAATGTGTTTGGTTCAATGGGTTTTAGTGCTCGTAAATATGGCTGTAGTAATGTGGAGATTGGTTTTAAAATATTGATACCATATTAACAAGGAAATCTAGCCTGGCTCCAGCAGACCTTAAGCCCCGCCTGGTCGGTCTGGCCTCGCTTTATAGAGCTTTGATTATGGGGCGTGTTCCAACTAAACCAAGAAACACAATCGCTCTATTGGATAGTTTCAACAGCCAATCAGACCAGCTTAGTGAAGTCTTTTACACAACAAATATAAGTTGTTATTTAAAGTCTGTGGTTGTCTCAAGAATTCTCTCCTTCTACTTACGCTGGAAGGATAAAATGTGTGTGAATGGATGGTATTGTAAAAAGAACTCACAGCTGAAAAAATTCACCCGTTACTCACTTCAACAGGCTTTAAAAACACAAACTAAACTATGTCAGTTACATTCCTAGCATAAAACGGAAGCTACATATGTTGGCATTCGAACAATATACTGTATATGATGAATACCTTCTTGCACTGTGGTTTTCTATTTGCTGCTGAAAAGATCACACACATTGATGTTTTGTCACCGGTACACATGGTCCGATGTAGCCGTATTTCAGCAGTTTAATATGAACCTGGGAAGTGCTGGCTGGTTAGTAAAACGATCCCGTATATTTTTTTTACCTTGTTATGTAGTTTTTAAATACGAAAAATGCCACAAGTACAATCACAGCCATTTGTATGCTAGATGAACTTGTTGTCTGCTAGCATGTTCCTCCACCTCTCGTTGAGCAGCCAGGATTCCACGCTGGCAAAAATGAGCTGGCAACGGCTGCTGGTGATATCAAACTCCTCGTGGACGCCGAGTTGCATCGCTATCGATGCCCATCGCAGTCGCCTCCTTCATCTGGGTGTCCATAAGCGCGACTAAAAGATAAACCACAATGGATTAACCCTGTGTCCCCACTTCTTCGCGACAATTGGGGCCTGTTGATGAATCAATATTTTAACAAATCCCGTTGGAAGTACGGCTAAGTTATCTTCTTCATACATGTCTCTGTTCACATTTCAGATGTTGCTGTTCAAATCTTTAAAACAGAGTTGATAGCAGAATCCACACACCTCCCCTCCCTAGCGGCAAGCCTGTTTGTTGTGAACGTATTCTACCCAAGCGCTCTCTAAGGATGTAGATATTTACGTATGTTGCTTACTCATCTGCACATCACCGTATAAATCCCACCTTGACACTCTGATTGGTCCGGTACGTTTCATAACAGGCATAATAGTTAGCCAACGGAACGAGGCCAGACCGACCTGCCTGCTGAAATTGTATGTAGGCGGGGCTAAAGGTTAATTCAATAATTTCAAACACAAAGACTGTTTAATGTTATCATGCGGAGCCATTCACGTAACTCCTGTGTGTGCTAAAGTGAACTAAATGAGCACCATGGGGGAATCTATCATTCTGATCATGATCCCCAAGCATCCAGTCCATCTGAAAGGTTGGCGTTAGTGTAGCATGAAAGCTTTGTAGAACAGTTAAATATTGATTTCCCCACTAACTGGAGGAGGCTGCACATGCACACGTAAGAATGTAGTGCTTTTTTATGTACGTATTTCTTTAGATCCATGTTTTAGGTCATGTATTGACGTAAATAATTGATCTTTATATTGTTTCATACACTTAAATATCCTGTTTTCAATTATGATATGATATTATTTTACATTTTCTATTGTTACAATGTCAGGTAATTAACACAGGTTTATGGCTCAAGGGATTGTTCAACTTTATGATGGGAGTTAGAAAGATAGATAGACAGATAACTTTATTACAGCCTCAAGGTCCAAATCAACAGACAAAAAAGAGACAATAAAAATCTTAAAAACATTCAAGAGGCAGTCACTCTGATATTTCCACAACAGTGCGGTGTAACGTACCGCACTGCACACAACACTATGAGTATGAGTTAAATATATTGTATATAATTATGTATATGCGCACAGGTCCAGAGCAGCCAACAACTCGGATAAAACACATCATTTCAACTATATTTATATTGATGTTATGATTCACTGTAACTTCCACTGAACACTTTAGATTCTTGTCTTGTTGTGTGTTTCAGGTATGGGCGCACGTGGCTCTGGGTCGACCCGCCTCGCCCTGGTGTTCCCCGGCTTGGTCCTAATCAGTGCACTGCTCTGCTGCTCCTGGTGATGTCCCCTCTGCTCTATAGTCTGAAGAAACTCTGCACTGTCACCAGAGAGTGTTAAAGGACCAGGATGCACTGGACCAGCACTGGACCAGACCACAACTCATATTCAACGACCGCTCTCATCTGTTTGTACATATTTCTCGTTGATTTAGTGTCACAATGCTTTACGTAGTCTGACACCGAATTAAAGGCAGTCAAGTTTCCATTCTAGATCTCTACCAAAGTAGTAATATTGGCTGCTGTTTCATGCTCTTGACCCTTATGCAAAACAACCCTGGAAGTTCATCAACTTAGTTCCGTGTGTTTCAGTAATGGTTGTGTGAGATGATTATTTAATGTTAGGGCATTTCTAAAATAGAATCCTTTTTGCAAGTGAACCGGAAGAAGTAACTACATAATTTAGATCGACATTGTGTACTGTTCCAGCGCCGAATCCTTTCTCATACTGTAAGTGTTACCAGATTATTTATTGCTAACAGACTTTTGCTCACGGACAGACTTACCATAACTTTTCCATTACCCATTCAGAAGAACCAACTTACTAAAGATAAATATTGATAAATAACAAAGTTACGGCTTTAGATGGAGACATTTGTTACTTGCATAAATCCCATAATGCTTTTGGTCTTGGGGTGGGGCAGTAAAGTTGTGAGTCTTGATTATAAGGTTGAAAAGAAAACCTAAGGCTAGTTTGAAACCTCAAGGATAACGTTAACCCTTAAAACCACAGCCTTAGTGTTTTCGATTCATGATAGCGATTGAAACATTCGCCATCTGCTGGCCATTTGAGGAACTGTAACATTTAAACAAAAATAGACAAATACGGTACAGATCTCTTTGGGCTTGTACATTTTAATACTCTTTAAGGCTTTAAGGCTCTTATATGAAATTTTTGGACTAATTTAGACTGCATTATGGTATTGTGCAAGTGGCGAATTTGCCCTTATTTCACACAACGGTAAGAAATACACTTGTCTGTGTGGCTACAGTTGTCTGTCAAACGAGTTCCAACATCTCCACAACCCTTCTGAAATACTATTAATACCACACGGCCACTATCATCTCAATTTGTGCAGATCTTGCCAAAAGAAGCACCGCAAGCATCCAGACAGTTTCACCGATTTGCCGAGTACATTAAGTCGGCATCTCAAATTGATCAACGGGGCCTCAAAGCCACTTATCTCCACACATTGAAATAATACGAAACCCTCAGCTGCTTAAGGCTCCTCACATTATCAAGGAAGATCCTGGCATTTGGTTCTCTATCTGACTCCTCTAAATAATAAATGCCTATCACAGCCTGTCTGCAGGAGAGGTACGAAATAGGATTGCAGAGAGTAGAGACGTGCTACTGTGTCGAGCAGGTCCCAAGTGTAATGCTTCCCAACTACATTTAGACGACCCCTGTTCTAGATACGCAGATCATATTACATTGTCTACAGCCCCCCCCCCTTCATGACCAGATGGACCAGTGTAGATTGGATTACATGATTACAGTGCCTTCATCACTGCTTGGTTTCAAAGGTATTACCGTAACACTGCAAGGTGAAAGTTTTGTTGTTTATTTTATGCATTGTTGTTTTTCCAAACTACTTTAATGTCATCGAAAATGTCTGTCATACTGCATTTGGAAGTTGGGATGAAAGGCAAGGAGTTCAAAACAGCACACAAACGAGGCAAATCCAAAGTGAATTGTCTCGCTGATTGCATACAATCAAACATCCATAGACATATTCACTCAACTCCCAGAGTTCTGATACTACTAGAACACCCAGAGCAGTCATCTTAATGGCTCCCATTTGAATAAATGGAATTTTGAACAAAAAATTTAAATAAAATATTTTCCCATGAGCTAAATGATTTAGGGTTTTTTACTGTTGCAAGTAAACAGTTTTCTGCTATGGTAACTAGCACTGACTCTGCTTGTTTTTTTTGGTGGAAAACCAAGCTGAACCAGTCCTGGACCAGCACCTTGAAAAAAATAGGTTTGCCGTAGAATGTTGGTTGAAGTATAGAATATTGGTTGTAAAGCGACCAAAATTTGAATTGTAAATTCAAATGAATGGAGCAGTCAAAAAGATGGCACTGACTGTCAAAGGTAGAACTACTCATATTTCTAAAACAAAAGATAATTTAATTTAAATTAAGGTGCACAAAAAAAGTCACAAAGTTAGGAGGACCAAATATTTACATGTGCGGCATAATTATACTTTCAAAATCAAAAGCTCTCTAATTGACTGCTCTGGGAGTTTCTTGTGTTCAATCAGAACTCTTTTCCTTTAATTAATGCAAGAAGCATCAACATAATTTGTGACAAGACTTGGCCCATACCTTACAATCCAGGTACTGTATTTCTTAATTTGGGAAATAACAGGAGCTGTTCAGACATCTCTAATTGCATTGGATGACAGATGCTTGAGAAAAAAAGCACACATTTTGAAATCTACATTGAATGAGGGTCCATAACGGAAAGTTGGTGCCAGGATTTACATTGCAGTCTGTCATTATTAATGTATGACTCCAACCACAGCATAATTTATGAGCTATTAAGGCATCAAAATTATTGATGGCAAGTGCTTTGACTGGAAAGAGAGGAAAAGGTACGCCTTTCATTTTGAAACCCTTACGAGCTAATGCACACTACAAAACTTTTGAGGCCTACTTGTGGATGGAGCTTTCAAATCTACTTAAGTAGGACGGCAGACAGATGCAGGCCGCCCCAAAAGACTGCTTCACATTACTGTGCCTTTCGCTGAATACAAGACTGTACTCTCATTTGCTTGGATGCTGGCCTGGTCTGTATTCTGCACTCTTCACCCCGCCCCAAGGTCAAGCACAAGAAACAGCTGCAAGTTAACGGACCAGGTTTGTGTACCCCTGCAGGCTTGATCAAAAAATGACCCACGTTACGGGTTTCCCTGCTGCCTGACTGATGATTAGACTGCAGCAGACCAGTCAATGGCGTATCGACCCTGCGCACCGTTGTTTGAGTGATTGACTGACGGGCGGGATGCGACTCCTCTTGTGTTGGAGTCAAAGACATTTTTGATGTTCTCAGCAACTTCACGTGGAACAAGGCAAAGTACATTCAGCTGGCTCCAAAGGCTTATTTCCCTTTAGTTTTCTAGTATGTTTTATTTAGTTTTGTTTATTACGGTGGAGTGTGTGCATTGTCAATTTGAAGGTTTTGAAACTAAGACAGTGAATAGTTTGTGAGTACTAAAAATCTTTCTTGATATAGTTATGTGCCTGTGCTTATGCTCATGCAAAGATAAAGACAGGAGTGTGTCCATTCAAACATTTCTCCTCTTGGATTTGTGTATTTTGCTGGTGAAGAGTGTTTCTGCTGGGTTGTAAATAGCTTGCACATATTTTTCGAAAGATGGCCATGAAAATGTTTTGCTATAGTGTGTCCTCAAATCTTAATACTGCTGTATTAATCTCTGATCTCTGTGAGATACTTACCTCTAGATTGGCATTTTCATATTGAAAAGTAACTGTTCTGTCTTGTATACTAAAATGTGCATGTTAATCATTGTTTGTGGGTTTGTGTTGAACTTTTTTAAAACTATATCTTAATTAAAAAAAATATGGTATAACTTTTGTGATGATCTCTTCTCTTCAGAGGATTAGATTTAGCTTTAACCTGTATTCGTCCCACAGGGGAGCAATGTCAGTGATGTATCACCGGTTACAGAACAGTGGAAGATAAATGAACAATGAATCTATACTACAGTGCCTTGCGAAAGTATTCGGCCCCCTTGAACCTTTCAACATTTCGCCACATTTCAGGTTTCAAACAAAGATATAAAATTTAAATTTTCTGTCATGAATCAACAACAAGTGGGACACAATCGTGAAGTGGAACAAAATGTATTGGATTATTTAAACTTTTTGAACAAATAAAAAACTGAAAAGTGGGGCGTGCAATATTATTCGGCCCCTTTACTTTCAGTGCAGAAAACTCACTCCAGAAGTTCAGTGAGGATCTCTTTAAATGATCAAATGTTGTCCTAAATGACTGATGATGATCCCCAATGTCAAACATGGTGGTGGCAGCATCATGCTTTGGGCCTGCTTTTCTTCAGCAGGGACAGGGAAGATGGCTAAAATTGATGGGAAGATGGATGGAGCCAAATACAGGACCATTCTGGAAGAAAACCTGTTGGAGTCTGCAAAAGACCCGAGACTGGGACGGAGATTTATCTTCCAACAGGACAATGATCCAAAACATAAAGCCAAATCTACAATGGAATGGTTCACAAATAGACGTATCCAGGTGTTAGAATGGCCAAGTCAAAGTCCAGACCTGAATCCAATCGAGAATCTGTGGAAAAAGCTGAAGACTGCTGTTCACAAACGCTCTCCATCCAACCTCACTGAGCTCGAGCTGTTTTGCAAGGAAGAATGGGCAAGAATTCCAGTCTCTCGATGTGCAAAACTGATAGAGACATACCCCAAGCAACTTGCAGCTGTAATTGCAGCAAAAGGTGGCGCTACAAAGTATAAGCGCAAGGGGGCCGAATAATATTGCACGCCCCACTTTTCAGTTTTTTTTTTGTTAAAAAAGTTTAAATTATCCAATAAATTTTGTTCCACTTCACGATTGTGTACCACTTGTTGTTGATTCTTGACAAAAAAAATATTTTTATATCTTTATGTTTGAAGCCTGAAATGCGGCGAAATGTTGACAGGTTCAAGGGAGCCGAATACTCTCGCAAGGCACTGTAAATAAAATTAACATGAAGAAGAAATAAGTACTGTATAAAATCTATCTTTAGTGTGAGTACAATAAACTCTGACTTTAGCACAATAATGAAGTTTACATCTCTAAATATGTGAACATACCACTTTTATTGAGCCATAACCTATAAATAATACTTCATTGTTTAGATTATTCATGGAACAGCCTTCTGATACACAGTAATTAGCTCTAATGCAATACATGACCTGCTTTATTATTTACACATTACATATTAGCCAACAAAACATATTTATCACA